CGGGGGCTCGGCCCAGGGTGTGGGGTGCCGCCCGCCCTGCCGCAGGTGCCCAGCGCGCGGTCCGGGCGCGCGGCTCGTGGCGAGTGCCTCCGGCGGGGGACGCGGGCTGGGGACGAGGGCGGGGGGAGCGGGCTGGAAGGGGTCCGGGCGGAGCGCTACCGGGGCTGGGGCCGGCCGCTGCGGGGCTGGGGGCCGCGACCGCGCGTGGGAGAGGCGGCGGCTCCGTCTTCAGCGAAATGCAGTCAATTAAGAGTTTTTCATTAATACGACGGAAGGTGTAGAGGGCGGGCTTTGGGGTTTCTTAGGAAATGGGTCATCTGGCAAACTTTCTTCTTCCTACCGTTGGTTTCCGATTTTTATAACGGGAAATGGGATTATTATTTTGCCATAAAGGGAAAGAATAAAAAGAATTCCGCCATTTTGGCGTTTTTAAAAGTAACCGTTGCGCGTGGCCGACGGGTCGGTGGCCGCCCCGCCCGCCGCCGTCTGTACCAGTTCTCCGAGGGCGGGCGGGCGGCGGTCCCGACCCCGGAGCCGGCTTTCGCCCCTCCCGCGTCCCGGCCGCAGCTGCTGGGGGCAGGCCCCAAGTTTGTGGCGCCCGATCTCGCTGGGGCTGAGTGTGTGTGTGTTGAGGCGTGTGGGGATGTCTGGGGCGCTAACCCCACTCCCAACACCTAGAGCCAGGGCCTTTATTGAGCGTCTGTTGTATACGAAGCCTTGAAGGGCAAGCAGTGGGAAGAACCTTAGCAGATAGGAAGGGAAAATAAACAGGGACATACTCATTCAATAAATGTTTACCGAGCATATGCTATGTGCCAGAGACCGCTCTGTCCCAGGGACCCAATGACTGTTTTAGGTCGGGTTCCCTGAAACCAGACTCCGGGAGGGAGATGTGAGCGCAGACTTACTGGAGTGCCCTTGGGAGTATCACCTGTAGGACAGTGAAGACAGCAAAGTGGTGGGCAGAAGTTGAACTGCCAACGTAGTCTCTGCAGAGGCCTCAACCTGTCCCAGGGATAGCTCTGGAAGGGACATGGCCCTGCTGAGATAACCCAAATTGAGGCAAGGAGCAAGGCCCTTCTGCCCTTTATCAACTAGTCTGACAGGATGGCTGCTTCCAGGAGAGGGCACTTGGGCGAGGCAGCTCCCCTGGCTGAGGGCAATTCCCAGAGAAGCTGACTGCCCAGGGCTGCCTTCAGGGTAGCTGACTGCCTCTTTATCCCCTCCTCCCCTAGCCTCTGAGCAACACTGGAGGAAATTGTATTCTAGCCCCTAAGGAATGAATGGCTAAACCATTGATGTATTTCAATATCATTGTTTCTAATATGTTGACCACTTTTTACTCCCAGCTCTCTGATTCATTCATTCAGTGACTGTTGAGTGCAACCTCTGTGTCAGGCTTTTTACACATCAGCTGCTTTGTGCCATCTCAGAGACCCACAAGTTAATGCATAATTAGACTGTGGTGGAATGGAGCACAGTCAAAGAGATGATTAACTTTGTTTTGGGGTGAATTTGGGGAACACTTCAAGGAAGAGGTGTCACTCACGCTGGATCTTGGAGGGTGATTAGGATTTTTCCAGACCTATGGGATATGGAAAGGTACCAAGCAGAAGGAACCATATATGCGCAGGACACAGAAGTGGGGTTCTGAAGTTGCAAGCAGGCTCTAGGGGTGGGAGTGGATGTTCCTGGCACCTGGCTCAGGCCCGGGAGCCATTTCGGACTGGTTGTGCTATTGTGTGTACCAGGTGGGACAGTGTTTATGAAAATGCCACATGGGCTGCAAGCACAAGGGGTGGCAGCGGCAGAGGAGGAACGAATTCAAATCACAGAGAAGCAGTTTCAGGCCTCAGAGCTCATGGTTTAGCTAGGGAGGAAGAACACAAGCAGTAGGTGCTTCTTGGCAGGAGCCCAAGGCTACCGTGTGTTGGGTCCCCACATCACAGATGCACTGTGTCCCCTTTCCTCCTGCATATTCAAGGATTTGTCTTCTAGACTGAGTCTTTCTTCCCTGCCCTGTCAGTTTTTTCCTCTCCGTAGGCTCATTTTCCTCAGGTACAAACATGCTGTGACATCTCCTATTTAAAAACAAACCAACAAACACCCCACACCCCTTCCTTGAGACCACATCACTCTCCAAACACCATCCCCCAACTCCATGCTCTCCTTCACATCACAACCTCCTTAAGAGAGTTGGTAGTCCCGTTGTTTCCACTTCCTTTTCTCCTATTCTCCCACGAGGATCAATCCTTACTGTTAGTTTCCCCCACTAGAATGTGGATTCAGTGACAGGGGTTGTCTATTTTGTTCATTGATAAATCTGCATTGCCTGGAACAGGGCCTGGCACATAGTAGGTGCTCAATAAGTATTGAGCTAATCCATGATCTCTCTCTAGAACCCACTCCGGCCAGGTTTTTATGTCCACAGCTCCTTGGAAGTGGCTGTTGTCAAGGTTTCTAATGACTCCTTATTGCCCCAACGGTCCACTCCCTCACCTGACTTGATCTGGCCCCCTTTCCTGAAAACTTTGCTCATGTGTCCTCCAGAAGCTCAGACTCTTCTGGATTCCCCCTGACCTCATGAGAAGCTCTATTACTAGATCTTCTTCCTCCTCCCAACCTATAAATCTTGGTGAGCTCCAAAGCTCCTACCTTGTCTTTGTACTCAGCTTTATGGTTTTCAACGCCAGCTATACATGATGGCTTTCAAATTTATATCTCCAGCCCAACCCTATCCCTTATTTCTACAATATATGCTTCATGAGAGCACTCTTTTTTGAGACTGTCTTTGCAGGGCACAGAACGGTGCTGACACCTAGTTGGCCCTCCAGTGTTTGCTGAAACGAGGGCAACAAACTGAATAGCAGGGCAGTCCCCTTAGCCTCCCTTCCTGGATACACCTAAAGCATGTGATAAGTTTGGAAACAGAATGAAATTCTTCCAGGAGTAACCACACTGACTTTTTTTTTTTTAATTTTTTTTGATTCTGTTTATTTTTGAGAGAGAGAGAGACAGAGAGACAGAGAGACAGAGAGACAGAGTGAGAGCAGAGGAGAGGCAGACAGAATCTGAAATAGGCTCCAAGCTCTGAGCTGTCAGCACAGAGCCCGACGTGGGGCTCGAACTCACGAACTACAAGACCATGACCATGACCATGACCAAGTCTGACGCTCAACTGACTGAACCACTCAGGCATCCTACCACATTGACTCTTAATGACTGCCAAGGTTTTGAGTAAAAAGATTGACTCTATTGAAAAGCACTTAAAATGGTACATCAGCTGTGCAAAACAAAATAAGGAGAATTGAAATTCAGGGAGTTCTATTTTATAATTTTAACACGGGACACACCTTGGTTTGAACGTTGCCTGAATTAATCAGGTTATGTATCTAGCCGTTGCCTACCTGATTACATACTCTATAATACAGAGGATGGACTCTATTTTAAGGAAGAAAATCTGGAAAATAAATGAATGCACAAGAATAGCAGGAGGGAGGCTGGGAGAGACAGTGAGCACTGTAAGCTGATTTTGCCAACAAGCTACCAAGCTTCCTGGGATTTCTGTTAAAAGGGAGTGGAGTTGGATTTGTCGAAGGTCTGCTCTGCTGCTACCAAGACTTTACGTATTTTGTCCATTTAGTCTTCACCACAGCCATTTGAGGCATATACCGTTGCCACATTTTACACATGAAGAAACTGAGGCTCAAAGAGGGTAAGCTACTTAGAAGCACAGGTGTAAGTGGTGGAGCTGAGATTCATAGTCTTAAGTCAGTCTTAAGCCTAGGCTATGTTTTCCTTTAACGTGTATGCCAGAAGCCATTGTCAATTACTGCTAACTCCTTAAAGCAACCCAGTATCAATCACATATGCAGAGCTTTTTATTAACAAGTTGAAATTACTGAAATACAACACATTTTTTTAGCACCTACTGTGTGCAGGCACTATTCTGAGGACTGGCCATAGAGCAGTGGCCAAGACAGATAACAAATCTTTGCCTTCATGGAACTTCTATCTCAGTGGGGTTGACTGATCAAACACAAATAAGTAAATGAAGATCATTATTGATTGTAATGAAGGATGTGAAGGAAATAAACACAGTAATGGGATAGGCAGTAGTGGAATGGGTGAGGGGTGTGCTGCTTTAAATTGAATGGCCAGGAAAGACCTCTTCTGAGGAGATGGCCACTGAGCCAAGGCCTGGAGGATGGGAGGGGGACAGCCAAGCAAAGAGGATGGGGAAGAGCATTCTAAGCAGAGGGAACAGCAAGGATCAAGGGCTCTGTGGTGGGAATGTTTGTTAATCAACAGAAGGAAACCAGTGTTTGTTGAGGGTGGAGAACAGGGGAAGATTGATGGAGGATAAGGTCAGAGGGGAAGACGGGTCAGATTCTATAGGATAAAGCACTTGGATTTTGTTCTAAGGACAGTGGAGAGCCATAGAAGAATTTTAGATAGGGAAATAATGTGATTCGGTTTACATTTTTAAAGCTTTCTCTTGCCTGGGAATAGACTATAGGGGGCAGGCAAGGAAGGAGGGAAATGAGTTAGGAGGCAGTTTCTCAAGTCCAAGGAGAGCTGATAGCAGTTGGCACTAGTGTGGCAGCAAGGAAATGGAGAGAAGTTGTCAGACTTTGAGATGTGTTTTGTAGGTAGTGCCGACAGGCCAATTATAATATGTGTACAGTTTTGCTGTATAATACAGTAACTGTGGTCACTGTGGCTATTCCAATTTAAATGAAGATTAAAAAAATTCAGTTCTTTGTTCACACTAGCCACATTTCGAGTGCTCCGTAACCACGTGTGGCTAGCGACTACTGTGTTGGACAATATAGGCCTAAGATATTTCTATCATCACAGAAGATTCTACTGGACAGTGCTGGTAAGGCACTAACAGTGGCCAAGATAGTTTAAGAGTTAAGTAAATGATAGATATTAAATATATTTGTTATGTCATTAGGTGTTTTTTCCCCATATATTTACCTGTTCAACCACCTCTGTATTAAATGCCTCTTTCGCCCTTGCATTTTATTTATAGCAAACTCATGCACTGTCTGGGCTCTCAGATACCTCTGTGCTCTTCACATGCATGCATTTGTTCAACAGATGTTAAACGGTGTGCACTCTGTGCTTGGGGTTGAAGGATTGTGGGCAGGTGTTATAAAGGACTGTGATCAGGAAAGATCATCTCCCAGGAAAATGGACCTTGTGAGTGAGAGAGAACCTGGTACTTGAGGGCTCTAAATTTCCAGAGGGAGAAGGGATTGATTCTAGTGGGGCTGGAGGTCAGGGTTGAGAGAGGGGAGTTTGGACTTAGCCTGGGCTATGCCGTGACAGCTGGCCAGACAGAACCTCGGCCCAAGACCTACTCCCCAGAGTCAGTTCAGAACATCACAGTTTACAGAGCACCCTCACGCATGCCCATTTCCCAGAGTCTGGGGGAGATGCAGGGCCTGGCCAGAGCCCTCATCTGGGTGACCTGGTTGGAGCCAGGAGCCAGAGTTTATGTTGGTCTCCTAAGACAGTCTGCTCTACCTAGGGTTGAGGATTTTCTCTTCAGGTTGCCAGCCTGAGGGTGACCAGCTGCTCCTCAAAGAAGCCCCCTCCCACCCTGATTGCCATAGGGGTTGTCTTCAGCTTGTAGGCCTACCAGGATGGAGGGGAATGCCGAAATGGAGATGCTGAGGACACTGAAGGGGCCCTCCACAGGAGAGGTCAACGTGCACCTGGTGGCCAGAGACAGCTCAGGTTCTGGCTCTCACCTGCCCACTACTGCCTTCATCATCCCAGGTGGGCCAAGCCAGGGGTCTGGGGAGAAGGAGCATACCTGCTTAGGCAGGTATGGATCCTGAGAAAGACAAACCTTCACCTGCCCACACACATGCATGGGGCACGACCACCAGGCTTACCTGTGTCATGACAGTCCGTGTATTTGTTCACAGCCAGCTCGGCCACCCTTGGCCTGCCCAGCAGTGCCCTAGACGTGTCCTGTTTTCCGCGGGAACCAATCCATGTGGGCGCTCCGGAGCGAGTGGCGGGCAGTGTACCTGTCACGGCCACCGTTCTGCCGCAGTTAAGCGCCGGGCCTGTGGCCAGCTCCAGCGCCACCACAGTGCGGCTCCTGGAGTGGACGGAGGCCGCGGCCCCGCCTCCTGGGAGCGGCCTGCGGGTCAGTGTCTGTGGGGATTGGCGGGCCCCCGGCGAGCCGCACCTGAGGGGCGGGGCCAGCGGGCCAGGGGCGGGGCTCGAGGCGAAGGAGGGGGAAGGGGCCTCGGTGAAGGGTTCCGGGGTGCGGCTTTGAGTGCGGGACTCTAGGGGCATGGCTGGGGTGGAGGCGCTCGGAGTCTGGAGGGCTGCTGGGGGCGTGGCTTGGAGCCTGGCACCCAGAGCCGAGCCTTGCGGAGTAAGGCGGCTTGAGGGGACTGTGCCGAGTGGGGACGGGTCGAGGGGGTACAGGAGTCCTGTCCTCAGACCGTCCTGCGCTCCAGTTCCGGATAAGCGAGTACGCACCGCTGAACATGGTAGGAGCAGAGCAGCCCCCGAGCCCAGAGCTGCGGCCAGAAGGTGTGGCCGAGTATGAAGATGGCGAGGCCCCGGCGGGAGGTGGCGATGCGGGCACCCAACAGCCCGGTAGGACCCCCACCCACCAAGTCCCCAGACTGGGGCCTTGCACGGTTGGGGCGAGGCCCGAGCTCCCCAAGGAGTTTCCATGGTTAGGGGTTGGGGTGAGGGTGCCCTGGTTCTGTGAGTGCACCCAGGGATTGGTCCTGAGGGGGCGTGGGCTCTGAGGTGGGCGGGGCCTGACAGGTGCCGCTGTGGTGGGTGGGAGGCCTGAGGCCCCTTTGGCGCCCCCGCAGCGGACCTCCCCCAGGACCCTCCAGAAGATCCCCCGCAGGACCCCCCAGAAGATGATGGGAACTGTCGGTGCCAGGAGTGTGGACCTCAGCAAAGCGCAGGTCCGGATCCCGGTTCTTCCAATGATGACTGCCCACCGCTGTTCCAAGAGCGGTAAGGGGGGGGGGGGGGGCCCCAACCCCCCACGTGCTGTGGCTGTGGGGCGGGGGGGCGGGGGAGGCAAGCCCTCTTCCTGTTCAGGGCTTAGGAGAGGGACTGGGTGGTGCAGGGTGGGTGCTTCCTTCTCTCAGGCCTTCCTCCCTCAGGTCAGTCATAGTGGAGAACTCCGGCCAGAGCTCCAGCACCAGCGCTTCTGAACTCCTCAAACCCATGAAGAAGAGGAAGCGCAGGGAATACCACAGCCCATCAGAGGAGGAGTCGGAGCCAGAGGCCTTGGTAGGAAGAGGGCAGTGGGGAGGGAGAGCAGAGGCTAGAGACTGCCTCAGTTCCCACGACCCTCTCTGTTAATCCAGGCTGTGGGGCTGGGCCAGAGAAGACACATGATGGCTCACTCATCATATTTTTGGGGTCCCATTTTGATTCAGGTCCTGTACTTGGTTAGAGGAAAATGATTAAATCACCCTCCTGCTTTCTGGAGCTCCCATCTCAGTCTCGTGTCAGGGCTAAGTGACATTCACATAAAGCAGCACCCAAGTAGGTGTGTAGGCAGATGGAAAGCTCCATCACCGGAGCCCAGTCACAAGGCCGGAGGCCTGGGAGCACAGGGCTCTAGTTGCAGAGAAGCTGGAAGAGACAGAGCATGAAAGTTCCAGTGGGCAGGTAAAATCCACACAGAGCAGTTCTGAGGGGAATGAGGAAGATTGTCATCAGACTGCGTCACTAGGGGCTGTATGGTCATGTGAGTGCACCTCAACCTCATAAGGGGTTGTCCGCTGGAGCTGTGTTCCAGCTGGTAGCCTAGCAGAAATTCCACTTGTTTGTGACTGAACACCGTGTGGCCAGGGAGCCAGGCAGGGGAATAGAGTCTGGAACTTCAACCCTTGAGGACAGGAATAAGGCTTGCCTTCCACAGGAGAAGCAAGAAGAAGGAAAGGATCCAGAGGGACAGCCTGCTGCTAGCACCCCGGAAAGTGAGGAGTGGAACAGCAGCCAGCCTGGTATGGTGGCCTGTGTGTGTGTGTATATATATTGGTGCGATGTGTGTATATGCTTTTGGAGGTGTGAGGCTGGGAGTATGGGTTAGGAATGTGATGGTGGGTGGTATATATATAGATGAGTATGAACTGGTGTATGTGAGACAGAGGGAGAAAAAATGAGCGAGAGAGACAATGATTCTGATTTATGTGCTGGTATGCGTATATGGGGAGAACTGTATCATGTAGTTGTGTATTCTCTATTATCTACTTGTGAATAGGCCTCACTGCCAGGCTCAGTATCCAAAGACTTAAACAGCTTTTAATGGCACCACATGGCATTGCTTCCCTTTGGTGGTGTGAGCAAGTTCATACCAGTCATTCCTCTGACCTTGCTATTTGGGCCTCCATTCTGGCCCTTTGGTTCCAAGAAAAGTGGAACAAAAGTCATTCATAGTCAGCTCTGGCCCTCAGCCCTTCTCCATTCCCATGTGACAACAGTCCGCTAAGCTAAGTAACATTTATCACACTTCTTGTTTAATGTCTACCTTCCTCCCTCAAAGCTGTATTAATCGGGGCGCCTGGGTGGCGCAGTCGGTTAAGCGTCCGACTTCAGCCAGGTCACGATCTCGCAGTCCGGGAGTTCGAGCCCCGCGTCAGGCTCTGGGCTGATGGCTCAGAGCCTGGAGCCTGTTTCTGATTCTGTGTCTCCCTCTCTCTCTCTGCCCCTCCCCCGTTCATGCTCTGTCTCTCTCTGTCCCAAAAATAAATAAACGTTGAAAAAAAAAAAAATTAAAAAAAAAAAAAAGCTGTATTAATCATTGTATCCTCGGTACTTAGCTTAGCGACTGGTGTTGAGTAGACTCTCAATAAATGTTTATTCAGTGCATGAATGGATGAGTTGTATGTTGGTGGTTCCACTTGGACCATGGTTCAGTTGCATGATTTACTGTCTTTCCTGTCCCAGAGAGAGCCAGAGGCTGAGGTGAGTTCTTAAGACATTCTGCCTTGACAGATCATTGCCAGCCAGAGGAACCCAGGCTGTGCCCAGGGTTCCGAACTCTGTAGTGCCTATTGGAAATTTTGCCCATCACATCCAAACCAAATTTTCACTGCTGTCTCTCACCCAAGGCTCTCACATCAGAAGCCGAAAGCGTAGCTCTCATTGGTTTATGACCTCTTAAGTCTTATTCAGAGGAAGGAGACAGTGTCTAACTCCTCAAGACAGTGGTTCAACTGCTCTGTCTTACTTAGGGAGCTAGATTCATGAATCAGCATTCTTTTAGCTGGGTCCTCTTGTCCAGTACAGAGTTATCTTTTGATTCATACTTCTCACCATACTGCTCACCATCTTCTGGATATTTTCCCTTTTCTGTCTTTTTTCCTTTTTTCAAGGAAAGATATTCTGTTAGTCAACAGAAGTTTGCATTTATGGCTAAATTTTTTCCCACTCATTTTTGGGGTCTTTTGGCAGAAGAATCTAGGGCTCAGGGTGGGGGTGGCAGGTTTGCTTGAGTGTCCTGTGTGTGTGTGGAGAATCTGTGTTCTGTTTACACTGTTTGGCGGTTAGATGGCCAGCTGCTGGGCTCATGACTGACGTTATCTAGTCCTCACAGGATGTTCCAATAGTTTACGGTTTAGAGCCGTGTAACTCATGTGTGTACTCAGGCACTCTCTCTCTCTCTCTCTCTCACATATATCTGCTTTATCGTTGCAACAGCCACTTTGTTTGAAGAATCGTTTTCTAACACACCATGGTAAAAGTCTTTACAGTATATTTAGTCATTAACAGTTATTCTGATATTCTCATGTCCCCTCTCGTTCTGCCCACATCCAGATCAGGTGGGATTCTTTGGGGTCAACTTGTTACAGCCTTTTCACATTCAGAGCAGTCCTGCAAGCATCTTCTTCTGTTTCCTTATAGTTGCCTGAGACATACATTTTTGCCCATTCTTAATCAAGTTGTTTATCTTCTTATTATTGATTCTTTATATAGTCTGGATATAAGTCCTTTATCAAACATATATGCTAAAAAAAATATTTTCTCCCAGTCTTTGGCTTGCTTTTTCCTTTCTAAATGATGTTTTCTGAGGAGCGGAATGTTTTCATTCTGATTGGTGTCTGCTCTATCCAGTTTTCGCAGTTAGTGCTTCATATGTATTTTTACAAGGTACAGGTTTTTTTAGCGGCTTTATTGAGATGGAATTCATAAACCATGCAGTCCATCCATTTGAATTGTACAATTCAGTGGGTTTTCGTGTACTCACAGAGTTGTGTAACCACCACCACAATCAATTTCAAAACATTTTTTTCATCACTCCAAAAAGAAACCCTGGGTCCCTTAGCTATCATTCCCCCCAAAACCACCAATACCCCTGTAGTCCTAGGCAACCCCAGGTTTATTTTCTGTGGATGTGGATTTGCCTAGTCTGGACATTTCACATACATGGGATCACATAATATGGTGGCTCTTTGTGACTGGCTTCTTTCACCTAGCACAGTGTTTTAAAGGTTTATCCATGGGGTAGCGGCCATTGGTACCCCATTCCTTTCTATTGCTGAGTAATATTCCATTGTGTGGTTATATCACACTTTGTTTATTTATTGATTGATGGATATGGGGTGCTTCCACTTTGGGGCTATTATGAGTAATGCTGATATGAATATCCATGTGTAAGTTTTTGTGTGGATATGTTTTCATTCTTCTTGATTGTGTACCCAGGAGTGAATTGCTGGGTTATATGGTAACTCTATGTTTAGCCTTTTAAGGAACTGCTAGACTGTATTCCTAAGTGGCTGTGCCATTTTACATTCCCACCAGTTTCAGAGTTCCAGTTTATTCACACCCTCATCAATGCTTGTTATTGTCTCTTTTTTATTATAGCCATCCTCGTGGGTGTGAAGTAATATCTCATTGTGGTTTTGATTTGCATTTCACTGATGGCTAATGATGTTGAGCATCTTTTCATGTGCTTATTGGCCATTTATATATTTTCTTTAGATAAATATTTATTCAGATCCATGCCATTTTTTAATTTGGTATAGGAAACACATTTTATATTGAAATACAAAGAGTGTGCCGTAAAGTTGGGGAGCAAGTTGAGAATATGAGTGTGTGCTTTGGTACAAGTCATTTATCAGTAGGACTCTTACAACAGTGCCTTCTTAACTGAGGTCCCTAATCTAAATTTATGTGCAAAATTCTGTGAATTGCTTATTTTTCTGGGTAGATGGTCCATGACTTTCATGAGATTTTCAGAAAGGTCCATTTGCACTTACTAGAAACTGAAGGCCAAGTGAAGAATAGACCATAGCATTATGGAGCCCAGCCTCTTTGGCTTGGTGTTCCCAGGCATAGATCCTTGCCAGGTACATGTTGACCTCAAGTGGCCGGCTCTTGATTAAGTTTTCTGTCTTGAAATGAACTGATTCTGAACTGGCTAACCATGCTGCAGAAGAGATAGGCAAATACTGGCTAACCATACCGCAGAAGAGATAGGCAAATACGTGTTTCTGTGGCAAATTTAAAACAAAAAGATCCAGCACATGGTTGGCACCCTGGTGACTACTTGTGATTGGTTGTTCTTGAGCCATAGCATTCTGTTCTTTAGGTTTTCCTTCTCTCCTGTAGACCTTAGAGTGGAAAGTCTGGCTAGAACCATTAATCTGCGAATTATCTCCACCTAAACTACTGAAGCAGCGCTCAAGAAGCGTCCCAAGAGAGTCAGCACAAAGAGAGGAAATGGGAAGCAATTGGTGTATTTCTTGGGTTCCCATCATTTAGGAGCAGGGTTGGGGTGGGAGAAAGAACCACCGATGGCAAGAGAAGAGGAAGAAGATACAGCTAAGAGAGTGCAGCAAGAAGGAAGTGCTCAGATGGAAGGGGGCTTGGTAGCACAGGGACATCAAGACATTTGAGGAATGAGGGGTGCCTGCATGGCTCAGTTGGTTAAGCCTCGGATCATGATCTGACGGTTCATGAGTTCGAGCCCTGTATTGGGCTCTGTGCTGACAGTGCAGAGCCTGCTTAGGATTCTCTCCCTTCCTCTCTCTCTGTCTCTCCCTCTCTGTCTCTCTCTCTCAAAAATACATAAATAAACTTTAAAGAGAGAGAGAAGGCACCTGGGTGATTCAGTCAGTTAAGCGTTTGACTTTGGCTCAGATCATGATCTCACAGTTTGTGAGTTCAAGTCCCACATCAGGCTCTCTGCTGTCAGCACAGAGCCCTCTTCGGAGCCTCTGTCCCCCTCTCTTTCTCCTCCTCCCCTGCTCTCTCTCTGTCTCTGTCTCTATCAAAAATAATGAATGAAAAAAAATTTTTTAAACAGGTAGTTATGGAATAGTATAATAACTGTTGTGGTTGAGGTATGTAGGTACAAAGGACTGTCACGGAACAAGTGCTGCCTCATAAAGCCAAGGAAGGCTGCACAGGGTAGGTGGGATGATGTTACTTCCCTCTGTGCGTCTATACATCCATACATCCCTGCTTCCATACATCCAGTCGTCCACATATCCGTGCATGCACACATACATCCTCCTAGTCATTCACTTAACAAACAATTGGTGATTATCTTTCTGTGTAAAACCCTGTGCTAGTGCCGGAGCTGTGGGTGAGAAGAAGATAAGAGGTTGGGACACAGTGGGGACAGCATCTATGAGGCAGAGGGATGAGGATGTGCAAAGGCACAGAAGCACACAGGGACGTGGAAATGCATGGTAAGCTAGTCACTGACAGCTTTGTGTGCTGCAGAAAGGTGTTTGGACTTTTGGTTGTAAATCAGAAGCCATTGTGGATGTAAAGCAAAGAAAGAAATGATTTTTATTTTAGAGCTATTCTGGCAATAGACTGAATCTGAGGCGGAGAGATCAGTCCAGGGGCTCTTGAACCAGGCTCAAAGTGAGACCAACAGTGAGCATAGAGAGAGGTGGGGATAGGTTCGAGAGACAGGTAGAAGTTGGAGTCAGCAGAACTCAGGGACTGAAGGAGGCTGGGCGTGAAAAAAGAGACATAAAGGATCCCTCTCATGTTCCTGGCTTATGTGACTGAATGGATACTCGTGCCATCGACCAGGATGGACTAGACTGAGAAGACCACAGCTTTGGCAGAGAAGTTATGAATTTGGTTTTGGACAGCTTGAGCTAGCTGAAGAAACTGCTAGTCAAGAGCATCTAGTCTAAGGAAGCAGGAATAAGCAAAGGAGCATTTCTGGAAGTCAAAAGAGGATGAGTACCACAGCTGGCCTATGCGGTACCTTGACACACATTGTAAACAGGTGCCCTTTCTGAGCAGACCCAATTAGAAAAAGGCAACCTTTTTTCACAGTAGACTTAGCCACATGGCTCGGCAAGGAGCCTAGGCTGGATTTCAGCCCATTCACCCTCTTGGCTGGGCACCTGTGTACAGTGTGCATACTGTACAACTGTACGCAGAAGCGTTGGGACTCATCTGGTCTTGAGGATGTAGCTAACAGCTCAGCCTGTTGTTCACCATGGGAAAAGGATGCAGGAAACCAGAGGAGGCTGGGGCTTGGTCAGGGAGGAGACGTCTAGTCATTACTGAAGGGTTTAGTAGTCAGACCTCTCTCCACTGGATTCCATTTCTCATCTCTTTTCTCATCTGTGAAAAGGATTACCATGAGTCCTACCTATCTCCTTGAGACATTGTGTGAAGATTAAAGGGGGCCACATATGTGAGGTCTCTGAGGCATCCCTGTACCCCCAGTTTCTGGCACCAGCCTTGGCACACAGGAAGCCCCACTCAATGGTGAAGCCTTCACTCAGTGGTGAAGGAATGGTTAAGGGAAATGGAAATGGTGGTGATGGTAAACTGTAAAGTCTATATACCTGTTATGCATTGTGACTAGTGAGAGAATGCAGATAATAAAGGGTTAGGGAGGCAAGTGGCATGGTTGGGGGTTGGAAGGGTAAGACACAGAAGATGGGGAGGCCAGAGGTCTCTACTGTGGCCTGGGCAGCAGAGGAGGGGTGTCTTAGAGCTTGGCCACATTGGAGTGTGGCTGAGGGGAGAAGAACTTAGAGTTAGGAGCCCAGGAGGGGCAGAGCTTCCTGAGGTGAGAAGTCCAACAAGTGGCTCATGGACGGTTTAGGAAGAGTGAGAAGTGAGAACGTCTGGGGAGAAAGGCTCAGGGGTTGTGAAGGGCTGGTGATAATAGTGGTGATTTGGAAAAAGTGAAGAGGTATTATGCAGGATAACGTAGAATGGCAGTGGCAAGACGCGGGGAGACGATGCCAGGGCTGGCGTCCCAAAGCCTACTCTCTCCTCCTTTGGCATGCTCTGTAAGTCTGGATAAAGACCAAGTGGGAGAACTGAGGATTTCTTGATGGAACACAAGTGATGTGTTCAAGGGACAATCCAGGTTTCACTCAGGACAGAGGGTAGTGGGAAGAGATGTACTCTGGGTTGGTGTATAGGTGTAGATCTCTGAGACAGTCTGATGGCTTGGTTGATCAGTTGATGAAGAAAAGACTTGCTTTGGCCCAGCTGGGTCAGATGGTGGGGATCTCAAGGCTCAGTACAGTGGCCAGGGAACTTAGGCAGCTCCTAGGGAGATGCTTCTAGCCACTGCGGTTCCAGCTAAAGAAGAAAAGCTTCTTCCTGAGTAACAAATCACTCCACATCTGAATGATCCAGGGCAGTAGCCAAGAGAGCCAGAGCACAGCAGAGCTAGAATCCAGATCAGACAGACTTCATGGAACCCTAGGAAGACCAGTAACACAAGACCAGCACTTTGCATTTCAAGAAGATCTTTTACTCACAGCATTTCATTTACTTCTGCAAATGACTCCCTGTGGTAGATGAAGTTGTCTGCATATCTTAGATGACAAAATTGAGTCAGTGAAGTTTCTAGAAGAAGCTGGAGCTATTTACCCAAGGGATATGAATTGATTTTTGCAGGTTTTTGCCTCTTTCATTATCTGTAGCCTTCAGCTAAAGGCAGCTCAGGCTGACCTTGTGAGCCTACCTTACACATTGCCACCTATTCTAGTCTTTAAAGGATGTTTCTCTCTGTTCTGTAGGCCTGGTCTCCATCTTACACTAACCTGAAGGTCCCATAGGGAAGTTTCTCTCCCTCTCCCCAGGAGGGATCTCCTCTGGATATTCCTAACCACAGTGTGTGTGTGTGTGTGTGTGTGTGTGTGTGTGTGTGTGTGTGCGCGCGCGCGCGCGCGCACAGGTGCGTACACACATGGCATGTGTATGTCAAGGAGGGCCATGGAATCAGTCTGTACTCTGTGGGCATACTAAGCACACATATAACATACTTGTGTATCTGTGTGTACCTGTGTGTGTTTAGAGGAAGAAGATTCGAAAAAAGAGAGTTTCTCATTTCTGTGTGACCTTGCTCCTCCATTTCTTCCTCCTTCCATGGTTTCTGTCTCATTTCTCTTTTTCCTCTTCTATCCCTGTGAGCTTAGGTGGCACTGTGATGAATTCCTCTGGCTCAGGACTTGTCACTGGGCTTTGTCAGAAAACTGAGTCCCTCTGTGGGACCTCAATTTAATTGCTAAATAATACAAAGTACTTTTGCTAACGGTGGTCTGGGGATGAGGGTGGGGCAGACAGAATCTGGTGCAGCCCCGCCTGAGACTGAGTCTCCCCTGAAGTCTGAACCCCTGCTGTCCGGTGCTGGCATGGCTGGGAGGGCCCAGAGGGCAGCATGTGATCGTAGACAAAGGTTTGTTTTGGAGGTAAGGTAGAGATGAGTCAGGGGAAACTCAGGAGAAGAATCTATCGGGAGTAGTCCAGAGGTTAAGTCTGTCTGTCTCCTGTCCACAGCATCAGGGGAGAAGAAGGAAGGCTGGTCGTGGGAGCCCTACCTGGAGGAGCAGAAGGCTGTCACCGCCCCTGTCAGCCTCTTCCAGGACGTGAGTCAGGCAATTTCTACCTAGGAAGAGCTTGCATACCCAGTCCAGGAACTCACCACCAACCTCAGACCTTCTGGTGTTCTGTGTGTCTGATATCCCTCAAAAGACTGGTAGAATGGAAGGGGGAGAGGCTGGTTAGGGTCCCAGAGTAGAGAAGGGCTCACTCTTGAGAGGCGCCCAGGATAGGAGGAAGTAGAGAGGTGGGACCCTGGCTCACTCATCACTGGACCTGTGGACTTTTGAATCCTGGTACCTTCTGCTCAGTTCTTGTATGCGGATCTCTCTATGACTTGGGTAAGAGCAAGCCCTTAAATCCAGCCCTGACTTAGCCCACATTTTTGAGAGGACCTGGGAGCTAGTGTGTCCTGCTGTGGATCCCTGTACTAAAGATTCCCAAATAAGCTAACACTTTGGTAATACCAGGCGGGTGGGGTCTAAAGGCAGCTCCTTCACCCCAAGCCCACTAGGCAAGGCTAAGGCTGGATGGAGGCTGGGTCCTCTCCAATCTGTGCGTTGACAGTACCAGGCGGTCACTCATAATAAGAATGGCTTCAGACTGGGCATGAAGTTGGAAGGCATCGACCCTCAACACCCGTCCATGTACTTCATCCTCACAGTGGCTGAGGTGAGCTGAGACTTGCTCCCATATTCTGGTGATGTCTCTCTGGGTAGCCTGATGGGGACTGCTAGGGACATGGAGGTCCTGACTCAGATGACGGAGACACTGCCCTGCCCTCAGAAAGCACCCAGTCTTTAGGGGGTTATGGTGGAACCCACCGAAAGCTAAAATAGGAACAAAACCTAAATATTGGGCGTGGAGACGTTACTGAATGGTGCATCCTGCAGTGCTGGGGGAGCCTGAGGAGGAGGGATCCCGAGGGCAGAGGTGTTGGCATGAGTCCAACCATGATCTTGTCCTCTGGGAGCTCACACTTGTGTGGGAATCAGCCAGATAAACACATCAGCAGCTTACCACACGGGGCAGCAGATGTGAGCAGGGCAGCCCCAAGGGGGCAAGAGGAGCTTCATAGAGGAAAGGCCTCCTGCCAAGCATTGAGGGATAAATTGTGAGTGAGTAGGTGTTCCAGGCAGAAGAAGCAAAAGTCATGGGCATAGAACAGGGAGCCAAGTTCAAGGAGCTGCCATCAGCTTAGTGAGGTCACAGCAGTGTGAGGGGGGAGCAGTGAGAGACGGTAGCAGAAGGAAGGGTCATCAGGGGCCCTCTGAACAGGCCTGAGCCTCGGTAGGTGCCCTTGCTGTTCTGTCCAGGACTCAAAAGGGCAGGAGGATGTCCTAGACTCTGCCTGTCTCACATGCAGACTCGGCTCATGAGTACATGATCTGTCCTCAATGCAGGATGGGAGAGTGTGGGGCAAGGTTCAGGATGGGGGAAGAGTGGTGGGCTGGGGACCTTGCTAGCGTTCGAGACCCTGAGACCACCAGGCTGTGCCAGGAGAGGTGAGGGAGAGGGAGTGGGAGTCTGCTGGCATCAGAGTCCCTGTGATTCCCCCTCATGGGGCTAGGTGTGTGGCTACCGCCTACGTCTACACTTCGATGGGTATTCCGAGTGCCATGACTTCTGGATCAATGCCAACTCCCCTGACATTCACCCTGCTGGCTGGTTTGAGAAGACTGGGCACAAACTGCAGCCCCCCAAAGGTAAGGCCTAGCCAGGTTGGTCACAGTGAGGCAGTGAGCCCTCAGACCCATTGGTTCTTCCCTGTGGGACCTTCTCCCCTGTTCCCCGTTCCACCACTAGCCTCTTTTAATCTCACCCTGCTGTGACTAGGCCCCAGGGCTTCTGCTTTGCCCTTGCCCTTGGAGTGACGACCCAGGTCATGTCCCACCTCAGCAGGGTCTCCCTGGGCAGGTTCTTGAGGGTTGGGAGGTCCTTGGGCTTTCCTGATTCTGCTGCTTCAGCGCGGGATGTCCTCGTGATGGCCCAGCCTCTGTCTGCACGGCACTCTGTTCTTCCCCGCCTGAGGGGCCTAGGTTACAAGGAGGAGGAGTTCAGCTGGAGCCAGTACCTGCGCAGCACAAGAGCTCAGGCCGCCCCCAAGCACCTGTTTGTGAACCAGAGCCACGTGAGTGGCCCCGAGCAAGTGAGAGCGTATTCCCACCCTCTGGGACAGAATCCCAGCAGAAGAGAGCTCATCTACCAGTGCTCTCAGCTCACACCAAATGGGAGGGGCACTCTGGGCAGGCCGAGGGCCAGAGGGAGACCTGGTTATGGGGTCTGCCCAGTTTCCCCTCCTCCCTACCGCAGAAACCCTGTCCTCTGGGCACCCACCATCTCAGCCTGGGCACTGGGATGCCACTGTCCTTATTTCTTGCATCGCTTTGCTCTGCAGACCTGGGGGTAAGGTCCAAGCCTCTGTTCTGGGAGCTTGCTTTTTCCTTCCTTTTGACCAACACCGCGACTCTCCCATTTAGTCCCAACGTTCACTCCTTGTCTTTTTCTCTGTTCAAGGCAGCTGGCAACTGTATCCAGCAGTCGAAGTAGCTCCTAATCTCCAGCCAGAAGTCCGCAAGATTTAGGGAACCCCCATTAAAATTGTTACCAGGTCAAGAGTGCAGGGTCCCCAGGGGTCAGGGCGTCCACCATGCCATTCAGGCAGTTACTCTTCTGCCCGGGTCTGGCCCCACAGACCATACCTACAGGTTCCCAGGTGACTGGTGGGGTTCTACCTGCTATTATGAAAGGGAATGCAGACTTTTAAGTCAAACTGTTTAAGTCCCGGTCCCACCATTGACTAGCACTGTGTTCCTGCGCAAATTATGTAATCTATAAAATGGAGATGATAATACTTACCTCCACAGGGTTGTTGCAAAGGTCAAGGGAGGTGATGACTTTTGAAGCTTACGCCCAATGGATGCTCTTCCTCCCCTCTCCCTGCCTCACGACAGCTTCTCCCTCCCAGCACCCACTAGTGACCCAGCTACCTCAATGCAAGCTAGGCCAGGCTGGTCTGTGTAGGAGAGGCTTAGACTCAACCAGACAGACTCTCTGGGTGAATGCGTGGCTTTCTGCCTGTCTCTCATCTTCCACCACAGTGAGGCTTCCTTCCTTGGAGGCCACAAGTTCCCAAGTGGCTCGGGGTTGGGGTTATGATTCTGCCCTGGAAGGACCCTCTTTCTCAGCCTGTTTCTCCTGTGCCCCCTACCCTACCCCACCCCAGGCATAACTCCTGGAGAACCTACTCCTTCCTTTGCCAGTGGGTTCTGGGTTAGTGCTAGCCAGCCTGTTATGGCAGCCTCTCTTCTTGCCCACAGAGTCCCCCACCCCTGGGCTTCCAGGTGGGCATGAAGCTGGAAGCTGTTGACCGCATGAACCCGTCCCTTGTCTGTGTGGCCAGTGTGACTGACGTGGTGGACAGCCGCTTCTTGGTGCACTTTGACAACTGGGATGATACTTACGACTACTGGTAGTGGGAGGGCCCAGACTTGGCTGGGGGCGGTGGAGGGGGGCGGGGGGCGGTGGTGGTGAGGGGATGGTGGGGGCAGGAGGCAATACTTTCAGACCTCAGGCACCATGTAACCCCAACCTGGTCCTGACATTGATATTTGCTCTGGGGCATCACGGACTGTCCTGTGGCTTTGATCTATATCATAAGAAATACAATGCAAAATTAAATGTTTCATCCTAAAAATACCAAGGTTAGGATGAGCAAACCTGTGATTCATGATTTTCCCTTATACGTTATGGTAGTCTTAGAGTTTGTAGTTAATGCTACAGTTTTTTGACTTCATCAGCCGTCTGTGTAGCTCTCACTAAGCAGAATGAGGTTGGGTGCTGGAGCTGTGCTGTCATAGGCCTCAAAGTGTCACTTGGGACAGTGAAGTATTCTTGGTTTCAGGTGTGATCCCAGCAGCCCCTACATCCACCCAGTGGGCTGGTGCCAGAAGCAAGGAAAGCCCCTCACCCCTCCACAAGGTGACCCTGCAGCCTGAGCAAATGCCCCTTTCCAGGCCTGACCCCACAGCCCTCCTCCTGATCCCTTACCTCAGTAGCTGGGTCTTTAGGGTCTGGGTGAGGGGACAGATGTATCCTGGAGCCTCATCGTCTTTGCTTGGGAGTTGAGAAACCTTTGATTTAAGGAGAGACCTGTCAACCCCTGACCTGTTGAGGTTTAAAGGAAGAAAGTTAGACGACCCCCCTCAGCAAGGGAGCAGGAATCCAGAGCAGAGAAAGTGTGTCCTTTCCTTTCAGAGTATTACTCTGATGCACACACAGGAGAGGTTCAGACGGGGCTGGGCTTGAGCTGGAGCAGCAGGACCAAGAAGGGGGAAGGGGGGGCCAGCGTTCCCAGACAGCCCTGTGAACTGCTTGGTGATATGCTTGGTTCCGGCTAGCACTCTTCTGCCTCAGGAGCCCCTGCCAGCAGCTGGCTCTGGTGGTGTTGGGGGGATTGTACCCTGTCTGTTGTCCGGGTCCTGTTTGGGGAGAGAGAACTTCCCTAGTGTGCCACAGTGCCTAGACATTGCTCTCATCCTCTCCTCTAGACTACCCAGACCCTGACAGCTTCTGTTGGGAGAAATATCTGGAAGAAACCGGGGCCTCTGCTGTGCCTACCTGGGCCTTCAAGGTGGTGAGTCAGCTTTCTCTGCCCCCAGAGCTGACCTCTGGGAAGGCATGGAGCACTTGGCCAGCCACATGGAATGGAGGCCAAGTGGAGTGCTCCCCCGTTGGCAGGCCACAATTTCTAAGTCACAGCAGTTGGGCTCCTTTCTTGGGGCCTCAGCTCTACTGAGCTAGGCCTTGGCCTGAAGGCTGCTGTCCCCCTGCAGCGACCCCCACACAGCTTCCTGGTCAACATGAAGCTGGAGGCCGTGGACCGCAGGAACCCAGCCCTGATTCGTGTGGCCAGCGTGGAGGATGTGGAGGACCATCGGATAAAGGTGGCTCCGGGCCCCTCAGGCCAGGGGAGTGGACAGGCTGTTTGGGCAGGAATTCTGTGGACTGGTTAGAGGTCAAGGGCGTGGCATGAGTCAGACATAAGGGAGGCCACAGGTTGTGGGAAGGGAGCTCTACATTCGAGGTGGAAGATCTGGGGTCAAACTTTAGCCTCATCCAGAGTGAGCTTGGGCAAGTCATTTCCCCTCTCTGAGCCTATAAAGTGGGCCTAATGATCCTTTTCCTGTGTGTGGATTGATGGGAGATGCCAGTAACTTAATGAGTAAAGCCCTTGGAAAAAGTGGTGGTGGAGGTGGATTCTGGTGAGGTTGGTGCCTTGGTTCTTCCAATCCAGGATCTTGCTTCTGACAGGCTCCAAGGACGTGGAGAGCCTCCTGGAGCCTGGAGGTCCTCCTGGCTGAGCTGGGCTCCATGAGGAATACCTGACCTCCAAGGGCCTTTCCTCCCCAGCTCCACTTTGATGGCTGGAGTCACGCCTATGACTTCTGGATTGACGCCGACCATCCCGACATCCACCCTGCAGGCTGGTGCTCCAAGACAGGGCATCCTCTGCAGCCTCCTCTCCGTGTGTACCTTTCGGACCTCCTGACCCTTCTCCTACTGATGTCCACCTCAACCCCACAAGCTCTGACGGTCCCCTTCCTGCAGCTTGCCCAGGGGATTCTGACTGTGCACACGTGAACCCTAGTGCCTACAGTGAGCTCTGGAATCCCGCATTTCCCCTGCCTCAGTGGTCTCTGCCACAATGAGCCGTTGTTGGGTTTAGGGTACTGAGATGTGCAGGGCGAGCTCGCTTGGGAGCATGTACCTAGGAAGGAGTTATGCATCCAGGGAGTTCTCTCAGCATCCACCAGAGCCACACAGAGCAGACGTTATGTTTGCTGAGGAAACCAGGTTTCTTTAAATAAAATCCTGATCTCTGCAGGTAGGGTTGGAGGTCAGGTCACTGCACCACTCAGTTCCAAGTCACGTCGGGTATTGATCCTTCTCAGTTATTCTCCAAATCTGAGTAGGGCCTAAAGAAAGTTACTAACGCCTTGAGAATGAAACAGGGAAACAGAATAACATGAACCTATCTGATGCAGCTTCTCAGGTACAGCTGTGCCTACACCAGCTCTGAGTTGATCTTCTCCCAGAGGGTTTTCCTTCTCTCAGGGGCAGAGATCATGGCCTGAGGTTTGAACAGAGTGTATGAGAGCCAAGCCCTCATTCTCCAAAGAGGGGCAGATACCCAGTAGCAGGAAATGATGTGACAGTCTAGGTTAGGGCCCCTGTAGCTGAGGAACTTGCTCCTAGTTCTAACCTTCCCCCTAGAAACTGTTCCTTCCCTGCCCTCCATCCCCTCATCTCACACCACCACCCCCGCCAAGGACGTTGTCCTGACTCTTTTCTTCCTGCTGCCCCAGGACCCAGAGAACCCAGCTCTGCCTCCCCTGGGGGCTGTGCCCCTCTCAGCTATCGGAGCCTGCCACACACCAGGACCTCCAAGTACAACTTTCACCACCGGTGAGTGAAGGGCCCCTGCTGAGACCCCCAGGCCTTGTTCAGAGAGGGGCTCTTTGAACCTGCTGTGCGCAGCCAATTGGGATTCACCAGGACACTCTCCCAGTGGGGCCAGAGTTGGGAAGGGCTCAGTGGGAACAAGCATATTCAACCCAGCTTATGCCACCTTCTTCTTCGCTTCCCCAGGAAGTGCCCCACTCCTGGTTGTGATGGTTCTGGTCACGTCACAGGCAAGTTCACAGCTCACCATTGCCTCTCAGGCTGCCCACTGGCCGAGAGGAACCAGAATCGGCTGAAGGCGGAGCTGTCCGACACGGAGGCCTCGGCCCGTAAGAGGAACCTCTCAGGCTTCTCCCTAAGGAAGAAGCCTCGCCATCATGGCCGGTGCGGAGGGCAAGGGTGCAGGGCCTCGTGTCCTCTTGGGCCAGGCCAGGCACTGATTCCCTGCCACGGACCCGGTCCCTCTCTCTCCAGGATTGGACGCCCTCCAAAGTATCGGAAGATCCCGCAAGAAGATTTCCCAAGTAAGTCCTGGGTCATCTATTCCCATGCCCTCCACAAGGTGTTCACAGTGAGTGCTTAGTAATTGGTGGGATGAGTCACTAGGGGGACCTAGAGGGGGCAACTGGAAGGGAGGCCTCCTCTTCCTCTCAGGCACTTGCAGAGCATAGAGCAGCGGCAAGAACACGGGTGACCATGGGTTCCAGTCCCGCTTCTCCCATGGCCTTGCTGTGGGTCTGCAGAAGGGACTCTGAGCCTCTTTGGGCCTCTGGTTCTCCACTGTGCAGCAGGAGGATGCCCCCCAGCCCCGTTCCCCTTGATTCTAGGCCTCCTGGGAGGGAGGCCATGGCGTTCACTTTCTAGCTGTGTGACCTTAAGCAAATCGCTTCATATCTCTGAGTCTCAGTCTCATTTGAAGACATGAGTAATACTTTCAAGTGTCAAGTACCTGAAATAATAGTAGTTACCAGTACTGTTTACTGAGCCCCTACTACGGGCCACGCACTGTTGCAGGTGCCATACGTATACTGTCACTGACCCTCTCAGGCATCCTGTAATGTGGACGGCATTCTCTTCTTCTGAGAGAAGAGGAACAGGAGGAGGCTCAGAGGCTGAAGCCGCTTGCCCAAGGTCATTCGGCTCATAAGGGGTAGAGCTGGCATTCAAACTCAGAGCTGACTCCTGCTCTGTGCTGCTGGCGTAACAGGCAAGAAGCACCTAACCCAGATGTCCGTCCACCTCTCGGTCTCCTTCGCCTTAGCTTGGGTGCCACAACCAAGTGTCACAGACTCGGTAGCTTACACAACAGAAATTTATTTTCTCAACTTACAGAGGCTAAAGGTCCAAGATCAGGTATCTGCTAGTTTCTCCTGAGACCTCGCTCCTTGGCTTGCAGGTGGCCGCTCTCTTGCTGAGTGTGTCCTCACGTGGTCTGCCCTGTATGTGTGTGTCCTCCCAGTGTCTCTCTACATGTGTTCAAGGACCCCCGATTGGAGAAGAGCCCACCCTAACAGCCTTGTTTTAACTTAATCACCTGTTTAAAGACCCATCTCCAAATACAGTTGGCCCTTGAACAACAGCGACTTGAACTGCACACAGTCCTGTAAAAGTAGTTTTTCATGATTTTCTGAATAATGTTTTCTTTTCTCTAGCTACCTTCGTTATAAGAATACAATATATAATACATATGACATACAAAATATATGTTAATTGACCGTTTATGTCATTGGTAAGGCTTCTAGTCAGCTGTAGGCTATTAGTAGTAAAGTTTTGGGGGAGTCAAAGTTGCACCTGGATTTTTGACTGCGTGCAGTGTTGGTGCCCCTAACCCCCACATTATTCAGGGTTAACTGCACAGCCCCATTCAGAGGTACTGGGGGTTGGGCTTCAACATATGCATTTGGGGGAATACGGTTAAGCCCATAACATGCTCCAAAGGGAGGGACAAGGTGAATGAGCCTTCCGTTGGGTGACAAATTCATCTTACATCTTCAGGACAGGGCCTGGGGTGCCTGGTGGTTCAGTCATTTAAGCGTCCAACTTCGACTCAGGTCATGATCTTGCAGTTCGTGGGTTCGAGCCCCATGTCAGGCTCTGTGCTGACAGCCTGGAGCCTGCTTCAGATTCTGTGTCTCCCTCTCTCTCTGCCCCTCCCCCGCTCACACTCTGTCTCTCAAAAATAAACAAACATTTAAAAACTTTTTTTGTTTTAATTCAGCACAGAGCCTGATACACGGCAGGAGCTCTAGGGATCATGCCTTATTTGAGTTGAATGCACACCGTGTTAAGGCTAGAAGAGACCATGAGAGATAGCCTGGCTCATTGCAGTTTCTGGGCAGGACTTAAAGTGTTCCGGTTCTTCAGGAACAGTCTCTGCAACCCAGATGATCTGTAGCATGGTGGTTAAGAGCACAGCCCTGGACTTGGGCAGCCATTTATGGGCTGTGAGACCTTGGGGAGGGACCCCCTGTCTGAGCCTCAGCTTGCTTATCTGTGCAATGCTGGAAATATGCCCACCTCAAAAGCTGGTAGGAGGCTTCTCATTTAGAGAAGGTCAGGTAAAGGGCTTAGCACAATTATGTACTGGTATTATTAGCCTTGTCTATTGGCTCACCTCTTCTTGCTGCCATTCCATGCTGTCTCGTCCTGGTGGAAACAGACGGCACTTCTTGCAGCTTCAGGCTTGAGTGAGAAGGGGCTTGGCCAGCCTTCAGGCCCTCGGAGTTAGGACTTCTGAGGATGGGACTGCAGTGGGCACCTCTTCTACCCACCCAGGGGACATCTGGCCAGCTTCCCCTCCAGGGTCTGGCTCTGGCCACCAGAGGGCGTGTGCCTGTGCATTCATTCCAAAAGTATCCCGAGAACTTGGGAAGCTAAATCTTTCAGACTGAGGCTGTGGCCCAGAGAGGGCAAGGAAGGGCTTACCTGATCATCATCATCATCATCATCATCATCATCATGATGCTATAGAATGAATGTTTGTGTCCGCCCAACAAAGTCATATGTTGAAACCTAATCCCCAATGTGATGATATTTGGAGGTGGGGCCTAGGAAATGATCAGGCCAAGAGGGTGGAGCCCTCAGAAATGCGGCTAGTGCCCTTATAAAAGAGACCCCAGAGCCTTCCCTTGTTCCTTCCACCATATGGCAACACAGTGAAAAGTCGGCCATCTGTTAACCAGGGAGTGGGCCTTCACCGTATAGTGTATCTGCTGGTGCCTTGATCTTGGACTAACCAGCCTCCAGAACTGTGAGGAGTAAATTTCTGCTGTTTATAAGCCAAAAAAAACAGAAGAACCTGCCCCTAGAAGGCTTGCAGTTAGATAAGACACCCTGACTGCCTGTGAAAGTTCCCATCCTGGGCTCCAGGGAAGAAGGATTAGGAGCAAAGCTCCCTACAGCCTCTCAGCCTTGTCCCTCACCTGGTTCCTGGAGAACCATAAAGAGGACTTGAAACAGGAGGCCAAGTCTGTGGCTGGGCAGATGAAGTGTTTGTGGTGGTAACTGTCAGGAGAGATCCCGGCTGTGCTGCAGGCAAGTGCTGAGAGCAGGTGGAGCTGGGGGAGCAGCAGGTCCTTCACGGTGCGGAAGGCTGGGCTGTTTGTGGAGTGTGGCCCAGAGCTTGGGTCTGATAAGCAGACATGGCAGCAGGCAGGCAGGCAGGCCGAGCTACAGAGCAGCCCGTGGGGCTGGTGACAGGATCCCAGAGGCTCCAAGAGTGACTGGAGGTGCAGAGGAGTCAGGGTGAAAGGCTGAAGCTAAGAGCCAAAGGGGCGGGGAAAGCCGGTCTGTGATGAGCTGGGGGAGGGCCCCTGGGGAGGCGGCAATGGCAAGCTGCAGCCGTGCGTCTAGAACTAAAGCTCAGTGAACAGGAGGGAGGCAGCTCTCTTGGACTGTGGGCAGAGAGAGGCAGGGCAAGCCCCATGGGACAGTGGCCACATGGCCCAAGGCCAGTCGAGGCTGGTAAGGTAGGCGGGGGCCAGGTGTGTCCGAGCCTCCAAGAGTAGACGAAGTCCAGGCAGGTGAGCTCCAGGCCTGGTCAAGGAGGAGGCCAAACAGCGTCAGTCATGAGATCATACAGCAGCTGAGGCAGGAGGCCAAGAGCCAGGACTACAGGAGCAGGTCAGAAAGCAGGGTGACAGGCAGGGTGGAGTTGGTGAGCGGGTCAGGGATCACCTTCTAGGTGCCAGAACAGGCTGGGGAGTGGGTGGGGGGAAGAATGGAGCTGGAGGCAGTGGCAGACGCTTGCGGCTGATTTCTCAGACAGAAGCACCCTGACTCCGCCAGAGTCAGGCAGGAAAAGAGGGCAAACAGAACAGGCTTCTGCTGTCAGGGCTGAGCTTCTCGGATGTTGGAGGCCATCCTGCTACAAGGTATCTAGAGAACAGTCAGGGGTGCTACAGCACCTCCTTGCCGGGGCCCCGGAGAGAGAGGGCTGGGCGGGTCCTAACAGCCGACTCCTGAGAGTCTGTAACGCAAGGCGCTCGCTTCACCAGGAGGAATGGGCAGTGGCTGAGGAGTCAGATCTCCCTGTTGGCTGTGCAAGACTCTCAGGAGGCCCTGGTCCTCCCTAGGGGCATGGGTAGGAGTGGGCCTCAGGGACCAGCTTAGTCCTCAGCGCCAGCCTGCCAGCCTCTGCCTCTGCCTTCAGCACTAGCTCCCGACGCCATGCACCAGTCCCTCTTCACGTCAGCCCTGTCGGCCCGCCCTGACCGCTCGCTGTCCGTGTGCTGGGAGCAGCACTGCAAGCTCCTGCCGGGAGTGGCAGGCATCTCGGCCTCAGCAGTTGCCAAGTGGACCATTGACGAGGTGAGAGCGAGGACCCCTCCCCACTCTTCTTCCCCACTTGGTGCTGTCACCACACCACACCCTGGAAGGAGGGTTCAGGAAAGGCCCTTGTCAGCCAGAGCAGGCACTGCACCTGACACTACCTCCCGCTCATCCCTCCCATCCACAGCCCCTCCTGGTGCCTGGCAGGGGCCGAGACGTGGGCCAGCAGGCCTACCCCGGTGGTTGGGGAGAGGGACGTGCTGCTGGTTCACGTGGAGTCCAGCAGGAGAGACGGCTTCCCCTGGGCCTCTCCTTGCTCACCCAGCACCAGAGACACAAGGATCCTCTTGGGCTGACAAGAAGAAGCAACACTGTCGAAGCCAGAGAGCACCAAGTCCACCTGGGCCCGCCTCTCCCCTCCCCCCTCCCCCCAGCCCCTTGGCAACATGTCTTCTTTGGTTTCCAAGGTCTTCAGCTTCGTTCAGACCCTGACTGGCTGTGAGGACCAGGCACGACTCTTCAAAGATGAGGTGAGGTGAGGTACAAGTGCAGAGCGGGGACAGAAGGGTCACTCAGTGAGACGGCAGGGAGCAGGTGGCCTCACCAACACTGCCCCCTCTGCTAGGGAGGGCCCTCTGTTGTCCGGCCTGTGGGAGACTGGTCACAGTGGCCCATGCCTCTAGGAAAAATCGGGTATAGGCCGTGGCCCAGCTTGTGAACCCGCTGTGTTCAGAGCGTCCTCAGGAAGGAAAATGCCTCCTGGAGACAGGGCTCCATTCACTCCTCTCTGCTCTCTGCCCAGCTTGTTTTCCAAACCTAGGCTTCACCAGGGACAGTAAGTTAAAGTGTGTCTTGAATGGCACAGGTATTGCCTTTTACTTCAAGGATCCTAACACATACTTAAAACCGAGACCCAAAAGCTTACCAAGGATAAGAAGCCATGAGTTGTACATAAAAGAACCCTAGCTTTGCAGACAGTGTAGATGCGAATCCCAGTTCTGCTGGTTTGGGCTCTTTATTGTCTCTGAGTCCACATCTTCTTATCTATAAGATGGAAGTAGAGCGGGTATAACGACAATCTTGCAGGGCCATTGTGAGCGTTGGAAATGGTGAACGGATCGTTGTACCAGACTGTCTAGTATAACTATATCACCACCATGCTGTAGAATAGTATATAAATCCTATCACTATACAAGAGTGCCTGATACAGTGGGGGCTCAATGGTGGTTCTGACTTTTAATAGTTGTCCTTAAATAAAGAACTTTACTGTGACTCTCCTAGTTTACACAATTTGAAACTAGAAGGGATTTTGGAGTTTGTTTAGATCTTCTTTCCAAAGAATACATGCATCCCCCTTCACCCAGCAGCATGTAGTCTCAGTCCCTCCAGGTCAGGTGCCCAGAAGAAAGAAGTCTGCTCCTCTTCCCCTAGAAGCTTCTCTTTATCCAGACCCAACACAGTCAGCCGTTTCTTCATAGTGTCCTTGTGTGGTGGAGCCCCCAGACTCCTCCCCATGTGGGGTGTGGCCTCATAGGCTGGTGATCTTACTGTCACATATGTGTCCACAGCTGTACCCTGGTTTCAGATGCCTTGTGACCAGCACAGAACACACTGGCTGTGTTCTGCCCCCTCCTAGATGTTTTTTGATTTTATATTTAAAAGGATTTTATAGAGCAGTTTTAGGTTCACAGCAAAATTGAGAGAAACGTACAGAGATTTTCCATATACCCCCATCCCTGATATGTGCACAGCCTCCCCAGTTATCACCTCCACTCAGAGTGGTGCACTTGTTATAACTGACAAACTGATACCTACATTGTTTTTTAATGGAGATAAAAATGTACATGGAACGAAAATGCATGCATCTTAAAAGTACAATTCCACAAGTGTTGTGAAATGTGTACACCTGGAACCCAGTACTTCAGTCAAGATATAAAACATTTCCATCATACCAGAACGTTCTTTCCTGACCCCTTTGTCAGTCTCCGCCCTCATGGGCAACCACTGTTGTAATCTTTAGCACCATAGGTTAGTGTTACCTGTTCTTGAACTTCTTATAAATGGGTCCAGCTTCTATTCTTTGGTGTCTGTCTCTTTTCACTCAGTGTAATGTTTTCGAGGTCCATCCGTGTTATTGTGTATACTGGTGGTTTGTTCATTTTTATTGCTGAGTAGTGCTCCATTTTATGAGTAGCCCACAGTTCTCCTGTTAATGGATATTTGGGTGGTTTTCTTTTCCCCTAGATATGAGTTATATATATATATATATATATATATATATATATATATATATACACATATGTATGTGTATATATATATATATTTTAGTAACATTTAAGTTTGCATGAGCTTTGTTACAGCCATATCAGACCAGTTTGGAGGTCATGAAAGTCCCCAGGTGCCTTTTATATAAATTATCCATTGTAGTCTAACCACATCTTCCACTTTGTTACTTGTACCACTGGGTTTTTTTTTTTTTTAATTAACCTAATGTAAAACTTTACATTTATCCCTATTAAATGTTATTTTGTTGGTTTCATAGTCTCATTGTTTTAAATCTTGATTCTGTCATCTCTGATATTAATGAGCCTTTCCAGTCTCATACAACTTGTCGTTTGATAACTAAGCCTTCTGTGTTTTAAGTCACACCTTCACCACACGTGTTTAATGAAATAGAACCATGTGGTACCCTGCAGAGGTCTTCCTTTGGTGACAAGAGTCTTAAGTGCTCTCTGAGTGCATGTGTTCAGCCAGCCACAGAACCACACAAGAATTTGGTCCTCATCTCTCTCCCCAGGGCATCTACCTCATCTCTCAGTTCAGCATGGTCTGTGATACAAAAGCAATGGCCAAAGGGGGCAAAGGGTGGACTGCCAGCAACAAATGGAGTCTCAGTGGGGAGCAGGACCTTTGTGAGGGCTGAGGATGATCTTTTCCAGGACCTGGTCCACGGCATCAACTTCCCCAAGGAGGCGCATACTCCAGGGAGTGGCCTTTGTCTGGCTGGACTGATGCATTCAGACACACGGGTCAAGAATCTCTCCAGCCGGGACACAGACCAGTCATGAGAGGGATATTTCATGAGTGAGAAGTTAGAGAGCAAAGCAGACAGATGGTCTTATGGGTAGTCAGCCTGTCCAGTCTGGCAGTTGGCACTGACGGCCCTAAGGAAAGTCTGCCCAGATTCAGATTAAATCACCTCCCTTCCTCTCTGCCTTCCTAACCCCCCTCTTAAGAATAATAGCTCATAGGTAATACTGTGTACCTCATAACTGCATCACCCAGACACGCTCACAGTGTCTGCCTGTTTACTGTCAGCAGCACTAACACTCACCAGTGGGTTTATGGGGGGACCGCAAGCAGCCAGTGTTTTGAGGCCACTGTCAGTGACGACTGAGAAGATATTATGCAAACACACATTGAAATCAGACCAGTCAACAGAAAGAAAGAGAAAGTGTATGTGTGTGAACATGGGGAAACCAGTGGATATCTCTCTTTCCTTCTCTGTCCCCATTGCTGTCTTCCTTTTTTCCTTTCTCCTTCCCTTCTCCTTTCTCCTTTTCCTTCCTCTTCCCGTCTCTGTCCTCCGTCCCTCCTCCCATATATCCTTTACTCCCTATTCTCTTTCTCCCTTCCCCACTCCCCATGGATACCCCACCTCTCCTTCACGCCTTGCCTTCCCCGCGGCCCTCTCCACCTTCTCCCCACTTTCCTTCCACCTCCCTCCCCCAACCCCTCAGATGATTGACGGCGAGGCCTTCCTTTTGCTGACACAGGCGGACATTGTGAAGATCATGAGCGTCAAGCTGGGCCCAGCCTTGAAGATCTATAACGCCATTCTCATGTTCAAAAACGCCGATGACACCTTAAAGTGAGTGGCTCAGGGCTGGGCTCTCCTCCAGCCTGAGCTGGGCCTCCCTCTGCAGCTGATGCTTCCTTCCTGACTTGAGTTCCTCATATCCCCCCCCCCTCTCTACTCCCAACACCCTCTACATCTTACCAGGGGTCCTCCTCCTCTCCGGGGCTGCTTCCTACAAGGTACGTGGGAGCAGAGGAGCCCTGGGGAATTTGGAGTCCTGGCTCCCGCGTCCTGGGGCTCATCTGCCACCAGGCACACCAGTGAAAGTGTGACCGGGCTGGAGGAGCGTTACCAATGGAGCAGATTGGAGGTGCCCTGCCTATGGCAGCCCCACACCTCCAGCTGACTTGTTTTATCACCAAAGGGTCTTTTTCTTAGCCGTTCAGGACAATCTGGTAGAATGGGAGGCCTCCCGTCAGAGGCTCATTTCTCTTTGGCATCTCTCCATGCTTTTCTTTCCTTGGCTCCTACCCAGAAGTGACCCTGCCACACACATCTTTACTCACTCTGCTGTCTGGTTTTCCGGGGCAGGGCCCATGCCATCACCCACCCAGACCACTGGCTCTTCCCTCTTGGATGGGTGAGCCTCAGAAGCATGTTTTCATAGGCCCACTGGGAGTTTCTGGCTGCCTTTCTCCCTTTTACCCACAAGTGGGGGATTCCAAGCCAAGATGCCTTTGTAAGCATGCCCAGTTCTGGATCGGCTAGCATTTTAGTGGCCCACGCCAAGTCCTGTTTCTAGCAGAATAGGTGATTAGAGCCTGTTTTACCTCTGCAGAAAAAGTCAAGGCTCCATGGATGTTCCCCATATACCCTTCCTCTATCAGGTGTGGGGAAGAGGCAGCTCAAGGGTATGTCAGACAAGCTCGGGTCTTTGGCCAGAGGGAAAGCTCCAGCAGGCATGATGGTCCCCAAAGCTGGGCATAGCGTCCTTCCCTGCAGCCATGCATCTCAGCCAAGACATTGCCCATGGGGTGAGGGCCCCACACCTGCCAAGCCTCAGGCTGTGGGAATATGCCACTATGTCTAGCACACATACCTCATGACATCACATTCGACCTGTCCCTTAAATGTCTTGCTTTTGCGGAGTCTTACAAAGCCCACTTGCACTTGGGCCTTGGGAAGGCGAATTCCTCTAGCTTTGAATTCTCTGTGGCCCCTACCTTTCGTACCACCCTCCGTCTGTCCTGCACTGCCAGCCAGGTGCCTGCTGGGGCTCTGGGACTTAGACCTTTCTGTCCAAGTGGGGGCCTAGCCTCCACCGAGCCACTGCCAGGCCAGCCGTGGTGGGGCAGAGGCAGAGGGCCCGGCGGGAGCTGTCCCTACACAGAGGTGAGGAGCAACCAAACCACGCTTCTGTGACCCCAGTTGCTGCTATGGGCCCGTGGGGTGCAGAGCCAGGCCGCTTCCCTCAGTCACATGGTGTGTGTGCACCTAGGGCACCCTTGGGAGTGTTTGACAGGTGCAGCTATGAGGCTCGATGCTGGGAAAATGTCAAGGGCTATTATTGTTAAAATATGAAGCTTTATCTTCCCCACAGAAGTGGGACACTCAAAGCTCTGTTGATTTCCTGCCACAGTCCAGTAGGAGACCCTCTCTTACATGGGGTCACACAGCTTTGCCAGCACAGCCATTCAGCCACCCAGCTGAACTCCCACCTGGCTTCGGACGTTCCTTCCCTTCGGCCCCGAGAGGCAGCTCTGAGCACAGGCTTCCCGAGAGGAAAGTGGGCAGTCTCTGCCTCTGGCTGACACTCGGGTTTACGGAGGTTGCATTGCCCCCTTGGCCAAAAGTAAGGAGGAGCGAGTCTGAGCCTCTCTGACTTGGTTGCTTGGGTGGTGGCAAAACTCACCAGCTCCTTGGCTTTGCTCCTCTTTGAAACTCACTGGCTTTGTGGTGTGAAGAGGAGGCAGCAAGTGCTCATAGCTGTGCTGCGGGACCTCACCTGTCCTAGCAAGTAGGGCTGGGACAGCTTTGCCATGTGGATCTACCAACCACACTTCTAGTGCTTGCCCACGGGAAGGGCAAGGTGGACTTAGGGCCTTGAGAAAAGGACCCCCAGGCTCTGAACTTTGAGACCTCGGCACTTTCTGCACCAACGTCAGACTCTTTGGGGAAAAAAATAAATAAAAAAATAAAAAGAAGGAAAGAAATCTGCTCTACTGCCCCTTCACCCCCGTCCTGTCCCCAGACAAGATCATCGCACCTTGACCTGGGTGCCCAGTGAAGGGAGAGGGTTGGTGCCAGTGCCCATGCTATGTGCCTCTGCCCTGCTCTCCAGCAGCAGACACCGCTTACACTTTGGCCCCAGCAGCCGCGACCAGCCCTTGCCCAGCCCTGGCTTAGGGCGCTGAGGACCTTTCTGTTTAATTTCTGAAGCAGAGAGAATGATCCCAGAGTTTGAAAATGAAGCCTGTTTGCACTTTCATTCACATGCACTTTGGTGGAATTGTTTTTGTACTTACCGTGTGTGTGTGTGTGTGCGTGTGCGTGTGCGTGCATGTGTGTTCTTTAAGAGAATCCTCTGGTTTAAGATAAAATGACTCTTGACTCTTGAGAGAGAAGAAGTTAAAACTGTGGTGTTTTGTCAGTGTATTGAAACAACATAAATAAACTTGGAACATCTGGATGATATATAGTCAGAGTCTGTTTGTATTTTCATGGTAAAACATCCAGAAAACATGAAATGTATATCAATAGTGCCATCACTGAAGAGAATAAAGTATTCTTTTTGTTGTTAGGAGTCCTTATTCTATTTTAAAGATAGGAAACAAAGGATAAAGATAAATGGATATACTTGTCTACACTGAGAAATGTAAACAATGGGAACCCCCAAAGAATAGTGTGGAAAGGGCCTGATCCTTGACAGTTTAAAAATGGTCAAGGGCAGAAAATTCAATGAAGCCTCCAGTTTTTAAAATAACATCATACTTTCAGGTGGGGAAATTTCAAGCTGAATGGTTAGACTCTGTTAAGTTTCCCAGAGACTGAGCAGGTGGGCAAGTGGCAGAAATGCCCTGTTTGATCACATCAACCCCTTTCTTGTCACTATCCTTAATTTCTTTGCCCTGCTGCTCTTCTAGACTACTTAGCTAGAGTACCAACCGTGGAACTGTCCAAAGCCCATCTTCTCCACACCTTTCCCGAGAGCTTATCTGACTAAGGGGATTGGTGCCATGGTTGACTGATGGTCTCTGGCTTCTGTGTGGACCCTCAAGGCTGCCCAGGAAACAGTTGGTTTTTTGTGGGGGTTATCTTTGATTTACCTTTTAATACTCTTCAAACATCTTGCCCCATTACCTTCCCTGTTGTCTCAATACATGTGTTCATCATCTATATCACAGAGAAAATGAAAGTCATCAGGAGGAATACCTCCACCCTCCTGCCACTTCATCTGCCAATCTCCTCCCATCCATTTCCATTCTTACTTCTTTCCTCCCTATTATAGTAGAAGAGTTGATCCTTCCACTTGTAGAAGCTAGTCCTCTACCAGCCATGGCTGCTGTAAAAGGAAAAACATTAAGATACAAGAAAGGACTTTTGGAAATTTAAAATTGGTTGCAGAGAGAATTCGACACATGGGTTGAAAGATAAAGTTGATGTTGCCCAGGAAGTGGAATAAGAAGACAAGGAAATGAAAAACGGGAAATAATATTAAAGGACTAGCTGGAGGTCCAATATACAACTTATAGGAATGCCAATAAAAGAGAACAAAGAAATTATATTTTAAAAAAAAAACTTTTACTAAAAGGAAATTTCACAGAGTTGCAAGACTATAGTTACCAAGTTGAAAGGTTATACTGAATGCCTGAAACAGTGGGTGAAAAGGAATGACACTAAGCTACATTACTGTGAAATATCAGAATAATGACAACAAAGGATTTAAAAGCTTCCAGAGGGAATAAAACAGGTCTCATCCAAAGGAACATGAATCAATAGCATTGACCTCTCAACAGCAATGCTGGAAGCAAGAGTGTAGCAATGTTTCCACAATTCCAACGGAAAGTTACTTCCACCCTAGAATCTGTACCCACCTGAGCTGTCAATCAAATGTGAAGGCAGAAAGAGCATTTTCAAACATACATTTCAAACTTTTATCTCCTGTGAACCTTTCCTCAGAAAGCCACTGGAGGATGTGCTCCATTAAAATGAGAGAGTAAATCAAAAAAGAGGAAGATCCCCAAAATGCAAAGGCATTTCAGGGCATCTGGGTAGCCCTGTCCGTTAGGCATCCGACTCCTGATTTCAGCTCACACTTTGTGAGATCAAGCCCTGAGTCAGGCTCTGAGTTGACAGCATGGAGCCTGCTTGGGATTCTCTCTCCCTTTCTGTCTGCCCCTCCCCCACTCGTGTGCGCGCTCGCTCTCTCTCTCTCTCTCTCTCTCTCTCTCTTTCTTTCTCTTTCAAATAAACATTTTTTTAAATGCAAGGATAGTTCAAAATAAAGTCAGTCTATGTATACACCACATTACTAGAGTGAAGGGGGGAGGAAACACAATCATCTCCATTGATGCAGAAAAGGTATTTGCCAAAATCCAACACTGTTTCACAAGAAAAACAGAAAGCTAGGAATAGAGGGGGAAGTTTCTCAACATGATAAAAGACATCTACAAAAAACCCCACAGCTAATATCATCCTCAATGGTAAGAGACTTTCTCCCTAAGATTGGAACCAGACATGGAAGCCCACTTTTCACCACTGCTTTTCATACTGGAAGTTCTAGACAGAGCAATTAGATAAGAGAAATAAATAAAAGGCACCCAAATTGGGATGGAATAAGTAAAACTATTCATGGATGACATGATCTTATATAAAAAAAATCCACAAGAGATCTGCCATAGCTGCTAATTTAAGCAAAATCACAGGGTATAAGATTAACACATGCAAAAATCACTTGTGTTTCTATACCCCTGCAACAAACAATACAAAAAGGAAAACAGGAAAGAAACTCTACTTACAACAGCATCTAAAAAAATGAAATACCTAGGAACAAATTTAAAGAAGGAGGTGAAAGGCTTATATACTAAAAGCTACAAAACCATTGCTGAAAGAAATTTAAAAAGACCTACATTCATGGAAAGACATCTGTGTTCATGGGTAGGAAGACTTAATACTGCTAACATGTGAACACTACCCAAAGTAACCTATAGACTCAAAACCTATTGAAATGCCAATGGCCTTTTTTCAGGAATAGAAAAGCTGATCTTCACATCCATATGGAATAGCAAGAGGATCTCAAAAGCCAAAACAATCTTGAAAACGGACAAAGTTGGAGGACACAGATCTTCTGATTCAAAACTTGCTGCCAATATAATCAAAACTGTGATATTGGCATAAGGATAGACGTAAAGACCAATTGAATAGAATTGAAAGTTCAAAAACTAACCCATACATCTATGGCTAGTTGATTTTGTATTAGAATTCCATTCAGTGGGGGAAGAACAGTCTCTTCATCAACTGGTACTGAGACAACTGGATCTCCACTTGTGAAAAAATGCAGTTAGATGCCTACCTTATACCACATAAAAAATGAACCCCAAATGGGTCAATGACCTAAATATAAGAGCTAAAACTGTAGAGGTAAAATAAAACATGGAGGCAAATCTTTATGACTTTGGAACTGAAGGTGAATTCTGGATATGACACCAAATGCACAAGCAACAAAAGAGAAAACAGACAAGTTGAAGTTCATCAAAATGAAAGACTTTGGTGCATCAAAGGACTTCATCAAGAAAGTGAAAAGACAACCTATAGAATGGCAGGAAATACTTGTAAATTGTCTATCTGACAAGAGTTCAATATCCAGAATGTACAGAGAACTCCTAAAGCCAAACAACAAAACGACAAATAACCCAAATAAAAAATGGGCAGAAGGCTTGCCTAGACATCTCTCCAAAGACTACCATAATGGCCAATAAACACATGATAAGATGCTCCACATCATTTGTCATTAGAGAAATGCCAATCAAAGCCACACAAGCTGCCACTTCACACCCACCAGGATGGCTGTCAGCATAAAAATGGAAAAGAATCATTGTTGGCAAGGGTGGAGAAGCTGCTGGCTGGAATGTAAAATGGTGCAGCCACTGTGGGAAACAGGTTGGCTGCTTGAGGAGGAGTTTGGTCCCTCAAAAAGCCAGACATGGAATTACCACATTACTCAGAAATTCCAGGTATGCACCTGAAAGATCTGAAAAGAGAACTTGTGTGCCACTGTTCACTGCAGCATTATTCACAATAGCCAAGAGGTGGAAAGGACCCAAGTGTCCACCGGTAGATTGATGGGTAGACAAAATGTGGTCTATCCATACTACAGAGTATTACTCAACCATAAAGAAGGATTAAACCCAGGGGCACCTGGGTGGCTCAGTCGGTTAAGCGTCTTGACTCTTAATCTTGGCTCAGGTCATGATCTCATGGTTCATGAGATCAAGCCCCATATTGGACTTCGTGCTGGCAGCGTGCTTGGGACTCTCTCTCTCATCCTCTCTGCCCTCCCCCACTTCTCAAATAAATAAATAAACATTTTTTAAAAAGGATTAAACAACATGGATGAACCTTGAAAACATGATGCTAAGTGGAATAAGCCAGGCACAAAAGGACAAATACTGCATGATTCCACTTAACAAGAAATATCTAGCATAGGCACGTTCATGGAGACAGAAAGTAGACTGGAGGTTACCAGGGACTGGGGCAAAGGGGGATGGACAGTTATTGCTTACTGGCCATAGAGTTTCTCTCTGAGGTGATGGAAAAGTCTTTTTTTTTTTTTATTTTTTTTTTAACGTTTATTTATTTTTGGGACAGAGAGAGCGAGGGGCAGAGAGAGAGGGAGACACAGAATCGGAAACAGGCTCCAGGCTCTGAGCCATCAGCCCAGAGCCCGACGCGGGGCTCGAACTCACGGACCGTGAGATCGTGACCTGGTTGAAGTCGACGCTTAACCGACTGCGCCACCCAGGCGCCCCGGAAAAGTCTTGTAAATAGATAACGATGATGGTTGTACAACAGTGTGAATGTACCTAATGTCACTGAGCTGTCCACTTAAAGATGGTTGAGGTGGCAAATTTTGTTGTATAGATTTACCCACAATTTCAAAATTAGGAAAGAAAGAAAACAGAAAGAAGAAGGAAGGAAGGAAGGAAGGAAGGAAGGAAGGAAGGAAGGAAGGAAGGAAGGAAGGAAGAAAACATAGGCGTCCACGAAGTAGGACATCCAACAAGGAGAGAGATGAAGGGAATGTCCAGAGTGATGGGAAGGAAGGGCCAGGTTGACAACTGAACAAGTGTCCAGGTGAGAAGAGAAGAATGAAAATGTTCAGAAAGGATGAAAACAAAACAAACAAATGCATCAAAACTGCTGTATTATTGTATTAAGAGGATATTTTCAGCTCTATCAGACAGAGTTTAAGAGAGAAGTGTGTGTGTGTGTGTGTGTGTGTGTGTGTGTGTGTGTGTGGTGTGTATTTGATATTTCAAACCATCAAAGGAAGTAGTATTAATTAACTTTAGGAAACGCAGAAGCGTGAGTTTGGATGGGTGAGATCTAAAGGTTCTCGTTCCGTAGTAGAAAGGAGTCCACTTGATAATTTTTAAAATCATAAGGAGGAGGAATATCAGGATAATCATGCTATTTAGACACATGGAGATCAATTCCCAAGGAAGCAGCTTTTTAAAAAGTTGAGGAGTGGGAAAGGACCTGATCTTTTTCATTATCCACCTCATAGTCCTATTTGATTTGGGGGGAATGGCGGAGAAGGGAGGGTGCAAGAGAGCGAGGGGCAGAGACAAAGCGAGTGAGAGAGAGAGAGAGAGAGAGAGAAGTGGGGCTCACCCGAAGCGGGGCTTGTGCTCACCTGATGTGGGACTTGAGCTCACCTGATGTGGGACTTGAACTCGAGAACCGTGAGATCATGACCTGAGCCAAAGTCAGATGTTTAATGACTGTGCCACCCAAGCGCCTGTCCTATTTGATTTTTTTAAACTTTTGTACATTCATCCATTTCTAAAAATCTTTTTTTCAGAAAGAAACCTGGGGCCCCTCTCAGGACTATGTGTGAACACTGGCCCAAAGGTCCTGTGCCCAGCTCATGTGAGTGACAGATTTTTCCCTATGAATCCCGTGGCCCTTATCCCCTCTGCCTGTGGATGAACCTGCAGGTGAGAGAAAGGGTGTGTGCAGGTGGAGGAAGTGGTAGGAGTGTGGGTGGGGGCCGAGGAAGCACAGAAAAGTGGGCTGAGGAACGTCAAAGTGGAGGGAATACCCATGGACGTGGGTTCCCATTGGTTCAGTCTCTGGCTCCCCTTCTCATCCCTGAAAACATGTCTTTGGCCTTCATACCCAAACGACAGAGTCCGGCCAGCCAGAGGGAGAGGAGGGGACAGGGAGGGTGGCAGGGGAAGGAGGAGGAGGAGGACAGAGAAGAGATGCACCCCTGCGGTGGCCTTGCTGCAGGAGTGGCCTGGCTATTTTCTGCAGCATCGGGGAGGGAAAGGCAAGTGGAAGCACTGCTGATAGCCATGTCAGTTGGCCCAGCTTTTTACAAGAATTTGGTAGATAGGTCAAAATGAACCCAGCCCTCCCCCCGGGCAGTTTATCAGACAGAAACAGGAGTGCAAGGCCACAGGACATTAACACATCCATGTTCTCCACGGCCTTGTTAGAATTATTGTGAAATTGGTAGCGGCTTAAATGTCCAACAGCAAAGAAACGGTAAATAGGGAACAGGGATACAGAAATTAATCCTACATTATACAATGTGAGGCAGATGGGTTTTTTTTAAAAAAACAACTGAATCTCTCTTTTTTTAAATTTTTTTGATGTTTATTTTTGACAGAGAGAGAGAGACAGAGCATGAGCGGGGGAGAGGCAGAGAGAGAGGGAGACACAGAATCGGAAGCAGGCTCCAGGCTCTGAGCTGTCAGCACAGAGCCCGACATGGGGCTCGAACCCACGGACCGTGAGATCATGACCTGGGCCGAAGTCGGACACTCAACCGATTGAGCCACCCACGTGCCCCAAATCTCTTATGTGTTGACATGGAAAGATGTGTGTGAGAAAAAGTGAGTTGCTATGCATATGTATAGTATGGCCTGTTTTTCTGGGAAAACTAGTATAAGATATATAGGTTGTAGACAGAGGTCCAAAAGGATGGTCACCATTTAGTTTACAGCAGTTACTTTGGAAATGAGATTAAAGATGGGTTAGAGGAGAAGATTTCACTTTATTCCATGTTCTACATGCTGGAATTTTTCAAAACGGTTTATGCAGAACCATCGTGTGGGGTTGTTAAAAACCAGCTTTGGGAATGCAGGGGGAGGAGAAGCCTGGTGGAGCTGAAGCAGGGCCGCTCAGGAGGGGGGCAGGACCCAGGGCTCGGCCCTGATTTGCTCCTGGCACGTGGGCAAGCCACGGCCCCTGTTTGGGCGGAGGCTGGACGCTTGGTGCTGTGTGTGCTGCTGACGGTGGGGACGAGGGCACGCAGGGCCACCCCAGGGCACATCAGAGCAGCCGGGCCTTCAGGCACTAGAGTGAGTTAGAAGTTGCTGACATGCTAATGAAAAGGCAATGGAGGAAGCTGCGTGACAGACCCTGAGTTGCCAACTGAGGAGGGCTCACCGGGGAGAACTTTTCTCACCTGTGCAGCAGGCCAGGCCCTGCCCCTGCCCTGAGTTAGAACCCTCAGTCTGGGCAGCTGCAGATGAACCAGGACAAAGCCTTCCTTCCATGCAAGCTCGGCAGGGCTGAGCCCTGGTTCCTGAGCCTCGGGTCTCCAAAGGGCAGAGTGGAGCAGGGGCTCAGCTCGGCTGCAGTTCTCTTCCCAGGACGGTTCCCCGAGCAGTGCCAGAGCAGGTGAGCTCTGGGCAGCAGACTTTGGCTCAGCATGAGGGTGTGCCAGAGTCTTCAGGCAATGAGGCTGGCTCAGGACGGAATGAGCCGTCCATCCCCAGAGGTGTCTGGGGACAGGCTAACTGCAGAGGCTGGTGGTCCCCTTCCAGGAAGGGGTGGAGAGGACAGTTGTGTGAGACAAGCCCTTTCAATGGCCAGTCCTCCAGGCACTAAGGGAAAGGGGATGTGATTTAGCTGGTGGAGTCAGGGAAGGTTATGTGGGAGACTAGCATTTGGGCTGAACCTGGGGGCCATTTCAGAGAACGCAAATGTGACCATGTGGCAAGGGACCTCAGAGACCCTCCCTGTGAGGCAGGACACACAGGATCCTCATCAATCCACATGAGGCTCAGGGAGCTGGAGTCACTCGCCCAAGGTCACACAACTTGAATTGTACAGTAGCTCTTAAAAGTTCAGAGGGTCCCTGGGGCAGGGCCTGTCTAGAAGCCAGTGGGTACAGCTGGGCATCTTGATTCAGGTCCAGAGTTAATTAGTAACGAAAGGCCCTGCAGCCAGCTCCCCGCTGGTTTGGGAGCCAAGCGAGTGGGTGACAGGTCGCTCCCGGCTGGGAAGGTTGTCCAGCAAGTCAGGACTGGGTTTCAGGTCAGACGGACCATGCCGAGAGACAGGAGGGCAGAGCTGTGCCCAGGACTGCTCCTCAGGACCTGAGCTTGGACCCAGAGTTTTCAGGTGAGAGGCCCAGGCATGAGCAGGACCCCTGCCTGCCAGCCTGCTGGGCTGCCAAGCTGACACACGAGGTACCTGGCTCCTTTCCTTTCTGGCTACCAGTTTCCTCCCTTTCCTTCCTAACACCGTCTTTCCTAATTCCCTTCCTTCCTTTTTCTTTCCTAACTGTCCCTGCCTTCCTCTCTTCTCTCCTAATCTCCTTCCTTCCTAGCTTCTTCTCCCCTCTCTCCTTTCCTTCCTTCCCTCTCAACTACCTCTCTGCCTCCTGGGCCACCCGATTTCCTTTCTTCCTAACTAATCCCTTATACCCTCACTTCCCTCCCTCTAACTCCATGCCTTCCTCTTCTAAATTCCTAACTTCTTCCTGAAATTCCAGGACACAGGCTTTGGAGTCAGACTACTTAGGCTCAAATTCCAGTTAGATCCTTTACTAGCTAGGGGTCTTGATCAAGCCACTTCAACTCTCCATGCCTCAGTTTCCTCCTCCTCAAAACAGGGATAATGATGGTTTACTAACCCCTGGTGCTGTGGGAACAAAGTAAGACCAAGCTGGCACTTGGTTGCATTGTTACTGGTATGTCATTGGTATGCACTGGGCAGACGGGCATGTAAATGAGTAAATTCCAGCAGAATGAAGACAAGTGTAATAACAGCAGTGGGCCCAAAGAAAGGGACAAGAGTTTATGGGATCGGGGCCAGGGGATGATCTGGCAAGACTTTTGGGGAAAGCATACGAGGCTGAATGCAAAGGGCTAGCTGAGAAGACCAGAACGGTCAAAGCAGTGCACCAAGGACAGGGAACTGTGTGACCCCCACCCTCACTGTGTCCAGCAGGCCCAAGGACGAGTGAGCAGGTCCATGAGCTGGTGGGACAGAGGCATGCAAGTCTAGGCTGGGGCACTTAGAAGGAAGGGGCGGGCTTGTGGGGCTAAAGGAGGGACTTGGGCCACACCCTGGGAGTTCCCAGGGGTCTCTATAGGTCTGAATAGTCAGGAGAAGGTATTGATGCCCAGCCTCTGGCCGGACAATCAGAAGACTATGCTGTAGGAGTGATAGCAGCCATAGGCTGAGAGCTGCACAGGTGTGAGTACCAGTCAAGCCAATGGGAGTGTGGTGGGAAGTGCACATGTCAGAGTTCTCCCCAGGCCTCAGTGCCGGAATATTAAGTGAACAGCAACACCTTGAGACATTTTACACAAAGGTACAAATACAAAAATTACCCTAACCCACTGTCCCCTTGGGTCACAACCCTCTAACCTTTTTTGGTGGCTACGCACAAATGTATCTGTGCAAACATGTCTTTCTTTTCTTTTTTTTTTTTTTAATTTTTTTAATGTTCATTTATTCTTGAGAGAGAGAGACAGACAGACAGACAGACAGAACACAAGCAGGGGAGGGAAAGAGAGAGAGGGAGACACAGAATCCAAAGTAGGCTCCAGGCTCTGAGCTGTCAGCACAGAGCCCAACACGAGGCTCAAACCCATGAACCACGAGATCATGACCTGAGCCAAAATCAGACGCTCAACCTGCTATGAGCCACCCAGGCGCCCCACATTCTTATAAAGATAGTACCCCTGATATACCTATCATTTTGAAAAGTCCTTTTTTGCTTGACATTGTATGACACACATATTCCCGTTTTGATTTACAAAGCCTTAGCTATTATTTTTCAATTAGGTAATTTTCCACCTTATACATGTACTATAATCGATCTTATCAGCTTGTTCCTGATTCATTAGTCAAATACGTACTGAGCACCGATCATATTGCTGGTCCTTATCTAGGTGCTGGGGATTCAACAGTGAACAAGAAAGGTCTTTGCCCTCATAGAGCCAATGTTCTAGTTTAAGACGGAAAACAAAGAGTTGATGATAAGGTGTCAGCATGGTACGTGTTATAAAATAAAAGACAAAGCAGAAAAAGTGGATCAAGAGTGGGTGGGAGTAGGGTTGTACAGTGACCAGCCATCCTGGTTTGCCCCAGAGCTGTACTAACTTTAGCATTGAGAGTCTCATATCCCAGGAAACCCTTAGTCCCAGACAAACCAGGGTATTCAGTCACTCATAATCTCAGAAAAGGCCTCTCTGAGAGGTGACATTTGAGCAGAGGCCTCTGGGATATTAGTGGAGGTCTAGCCATGCAGAAGTCTGGGGGGAAAGCATTCTAGATGGAGTGGAAAGTAAATGCCAGGGGCAGGAGGCCAGAGGGCACTCTGTGTGTTTGAGTGACAGCAAGAAAGCCAGAGAGGCTGGAGTGTAGTGACAGGGAGAGCATGGGAACCAAGGTGGAGAGGGTGATAGGAGCTAGGTCTCACGAAATCTTGCAGACCATGGTAGACTTTGGATTTTAATCCTAGGTGTGACCGGAAGCAACCAGAGTTTTCGAGCAGCCAGCTCATGTGATCCACTTAGATTTTTTTTTTTTTAAGTGGCTCTCTGGAGTTGGGTGGAGAAAGATTGTAGAGGGTAAAGATAAACGTCAGGAGACAGTAGGGAAGCTATTGCAATAGTCCACGCCAAGTGGTGACCGTGGCTCAGACAGGGAGGTTGCAGCAGAACTGGCGAGTAGCAGTGCTTTCTGGATTTAATTTGAAGGTAGAGTCTCATGGGGATTCATGGTGGACTGGAGGTGGGTGAGGGTGCCATATTTCTAGATTGAACTCCAAGTTGCCAGCTTGAACTTTTGAGCAGGTGGTAGATGGAAGACTGACAGAGGGGCAGGGTGGGGCCGAGTGGAAGGGATGTGAGCCAGGACTCTTGTTTTGGATGTGTTACGAGTGAGGTGCCTCCAGGGACCCAACTAGTGAGCTGCTGAGGGAGCAGTTAGAGATATAAACCCAGATTTAGTGCAGGAGAGAGTCGGAACTAGGGAGACAAGTTTGGGAATTGTGGAGTGTATAGCTGGTACTTAAAGCCATGAAACTGGTTGTGATTGACTCAGAAACAAGTATAGATAGAGATCTGGGGACTATGGGGATAGGCCAGTGGCAAAAGAGGAGACAAATCCAGCAGAAGAGATGGAGAAAGAGGTGAGGTGGAAGGAAAACCAGGCGATCCCAAAGCCAAGTGGGAAGACCGGTGTGCCACCACTGGCTCTGGAATGCGGGGGTCACGGGCCCGCTGCTTTTGTGGAGTGCTGGGATTAAAGCCTCTTTGGAATGGGTTCAAGAGAGAAAAGAAGGAGTATAAACTGAGTCCAGACAACTCTTTCGAGGAATTTAACTGGAAAGGAGAACAGAGAAGCAGAACTGTGTCTGGAGAGGGACGTAAGGTCAAGAGAGGGAGTTTTACAGCCAGCGGGTCTTCTGACGTGCTCTGAGCCGGGCATTTCAGTTATGATTATGGTCACTATTCTTCTCCTGTTCTAAAACAGTGCTGCTGAATAAAGGCCTCATCAGTGTCTTGTCACTGAGAAGACGTGTCCTTGTTCTGGGTATGTGTTTTGTCAACATGACATCCTGCCCATCTGTGTATTGGTTCAACATTTCTGTGTGGTTGAAAGATGGAAGACTCTGATATTGTTCACTCTGGCTTTCTTTGCTGCCACCCTCAGGTCCCCTGCTCTTCGGAGCCCAGAGAGAACCGCCGAGGCCATTGGGCTCAGGTCCCTTTCTGTCCAACCTTCTTAGCCCCAGCCTATGGATCCTTCCACTGTGGTGAATTGCAGAGGCTTAAGTGTAGCATATGGTTGCCACACAGAAAGTTCCAGAAAGGCAGGGTCTGGGTCAGGCCCTGTCAACTCTTTCATTCCTCAGAACAACCCTCAGGATCTCCTGGGGAGAGGAAGGGACCCCACGAGTACCTAATGACTGCACCATGCAGCCAGGCCTTCATGAGCCAGGGTGCTGACTGGGACCCTGCTTCCTATCGCTCACAAAGCTGGAGAGCTCTGGGCTGACCTGTCCTGCCCTGGAGACAGTAGGCCAGAGTCCTGAAGCAGCCAGCAAGGAAGGGCCCAAATGGCCAAGTGTTCGGCAGTCAAAGACCAAGGCCAGCTGCATTGAGCCAGATACCTATGCTCTGAAACATCTGTAGATTCTCAGGAGGCAAAGAGCTCTCAGCTGCCATGATTGAGGTCTCTGGAACCTTATGATGGCCTGTCTACACCAGGCCTGGGTAGGCCCCAGGGAGCATGTCTTCTTACAGACAAGTCCCCTACACAAACACACACACACACACACACACACACACACACACACACACACACTCACTAATATACACCAATATGAACAGACACACAATAACCTATAAATACACATGTGGTTACACATGCAGTCATACACATGCATTGACACCTATACTCATCTGCAGACACACACACAGACTCACACTCACACACATACATACAACACATCAACATATATAAAGATACACACTGACACGGACATGTTGACTCACTACACAGAAGCCCATCGATACACACACAGAGAACACAGTTACAGATGCACAGACACACTGACAAGATTAAATACACGGTCACATTGATGCACACTAATAAGCAGAACACATGCAGTTCTACACATAGACTCAGACACACTAACACAAAAGCCTTCACGTGCAGGGACACGCAGATACACCAGACACACTGAAGCACATCGATGCACGAAACACCTGTACACACACTCACACACACCACACACACAGCCTGACCCCCACATAAATGCATTCTAAAAAGCCCCAAGCATCAGCAGGTCATTCCTACAGCTGTTGCCCACCCCCTTCCACCCACCCTCCAGGGGGAGGCGATGTCCCTGAGGGAACAGAGGTCTCTGGTCTCATCTTAAGCACTGCTGGATCCCATGTGACATCAACAGCCCTCTGCTGCTGCTGGGAGTTCTGAGCTGGGCGCTGGGGCAGGGCCGGCGCCAGGCACAGACACTTCGGCCCTTGTTGGGAGAACAGAGAGAGGCTCTCTTGTCCACTGCCTGTCCTCCGGCTCCAACTGCTGGTTCCCTCCAGGGCCTCTCCTCAGGCTGTGCAGGTACGTGGGGCTGGAGAGGCCAGGGCCTGGCAAAGGGGCCTACAGGGTCAGCCCAGGACAGGGTGTGGTGGTGTGGCGGGCCCCCTGGGGGACCCCGAACCCTGGGGCACTGGCTGAAGCCAGGCTACATTTCTCAGGCAGTTCTCCGGCTTGTTCTCTCAGGGCCCCACAAGGTTGGGCCTCTTGGAGCAGCCTGGGCTGGGCGATTCCCTCCTTTCCCCTGTGGTCACTTCATCAGCTCCCAAGAAGGCCATGGGGTGGTTGCTGTAGGATGCTGCCTTGTAAAGATGGGTGGTTTCTACCCAGAGAGGCTAAGCTGCAGCCCAGGCCCCACAGTGGGTCAAGGCTGGGGTCTTGGGATATACAGTAGCGGGCAGCCTCCATGAGCATCTGGGTTCTTGGCCTTGGCCTTCCAAACATGGGTGAGTCTGTGGGGCACTGGGCATCCTGAGCCAGGGCCTGGGCACACCAGCCTCCTTCACCCTGCAGGCCAGGGGGCAGGAAAACACTGTGCTCCTAGCTGCCTAGACCAGGTGGTCACACTCTTCACTATTTGATTTCAAACAGACACTAGCCAGGCTTGGGTCTCTTCATGGCTCGGGCCCAAGGCCCCCAGGGCAGCTGGCATTCCAGGGGCATTAGGTAGAAGTCCTTGTGGCAGGGAGATAATAGTCAATATGACACAGATCCCAGCCCAGGGTGTCCACAGGAATTTGGGGTCACAACATGCCTGTCTGGGAGCCTGGGGAGCCCAGCCTGCCGCTCACAAACTGTGTAGCCCCAGGCGAACCCCTTTCTAGACCTCAGGTTCCCCACCTGTGAAAGGGGGGCAAGGGTTGGGACTTTATGCTCTGCAAGGGTCCTTCCAGCCCTGGCCATCCTAGACTTCTGGATCTGCCCTGGCTCACAGGGATCTTACTGTCCTGGCTGTCCCCAGCCCTTGAAAAGTTTCAGCTTGGGAGGGATACCCTGGGCCATTCTCCCTGGCTCTCTCTTGAGATGTCTTATTAGAGATGCTGGGTCCAGGGCACCTCAGTTCTTTTCCCATGCAGGGGGCACTGGCCTCGGGTAGGAGATGCTCAGACTATGGCAGGTGCACAGGGCCAGGGAGGGGTGGACAGTGCAGCGGCACCTGAAACTCTAGACAGGTCATGCTCCTTCCCCAACAACAGCTCTCTCATGCCTGGTCCCCCTTGTGCCCCCAGAACCCACCTGATCACGGTTACAGAATGGACTCCAGCCCGACGGGCAGCCCCAGTCCTCAGGTGAGTGAGTCTTGGTTCCCCCATCCACCACCAGGGGGCTCACTTCTTCCCACACTGGAGGAAGCCTAAGGACGCACAGGCCAGCCTGGTGGGCCAACACAGAGCAGGACTGGGGGGCCGACAGGGGTCACTGTGAGCTCATGGAAATGGGCTAATTTGCAGGGCAAGTAGGGCATAGAGTTGGGCAAGAGATTCAAGAAGAAGATGGGATACACAATTGGCCCTGAGGACCCCTGGATTCTAATGCCAGTGGAGGTGCCTGTAAGTCCTTGGATGGCTTTTCTCAGGGTCTCAGTTTCCTCACCCTCATAATTGGCACAATAGTCAGCAGCCTCCCAAGGCTGTTAGGAGGAGCAGGTGAGATGGTGGATGGGTTGGTAGACGAGTGGAAAGAAGGAAGGAAGCAGGCCTGTAGAGAAGGGAGCAGAGCCTAGGCCAGAGAAACGGGAGGTGCAGAGGATCCTAACACAGTCCCTGATGATCTTAATAACTTTTCTGTAAATATCTTTAGCCCTCAAGGGCCAATGGGAACGTCAACCTGGGGCCTTCAGCCAACCCAAAGTAAGTTCTGGTCTCTCAAGCAACTTTCTTCCTCCTTGGCTCTCCTCGTACCTGGCTCCCTTCTCCTTGAGAATAAAATCCAAGTTCTCTGGTCTATTGCCAAGACCCTCTGCCATCTGGGACCCAGGACTGTCCCCCTGCTTTATCTCCCACTACTTCCCTAGCCTTTGCTCATGATGAGCCCTGTGCCTGAAATGCACCCCAAAGTCTGCATTGTTAGCAGCTCCCCACCCTTCAGGTCCTTCTCGGGCTTTGGGGGCCAGATCCCTTGTCTTCTATACAGTTGTGTCTGGTTTTCTCCCCAACTTGCCTGTTGGTTGCTTGACTGGATCCCCAGGGGCAGGGGCCTGTCCTCGAAGCCCTCTTGGCTGGGAGATCATGGCATGCTTCAGTGGTGAGGAGGCTTGGCTCTTGAAAAGCGCCCTCTGTTCCCCAGCTTCAAAGTTAAAAAGAAGCCTGGATACGATCTCAGGAGCCAGGTTTCCCAAATTCACAAACACTGACCCGTGTTCTTTTCCCCTCCCCCAGTGCCCGGCCCACCGACTTTGACTTCCTGAAAGTCATTGGCAAAGGGAGCTACGGCAAGGTGAGTGACACAGTGAGGCTGGGAGGCCTGGGTCTTCCCTTCCCTGGCCTCCTCCACCCTATGCCTGTCACTTGCATGTGCAAAGAGGGAGCTCACAGCCTGCAGAATCATGGACGTGGGGCCAGAACTGGGGGCTCCTGAGAAATAAGAAGTTCAGAGGAGTAGGTCCCCTGTGGGGCCTTGCATTTGTGCTTCTGCTCAGGTGCTACTGGCCAAGCGCAAGTCTGACGGGATGTTCTACGCAGTGAAGGTGCTGCAGAAAAAGTCCATCTTACAGAAGAAAGAGGTATCCAAGCTTGCACACGGGCATTTCCCCTCCTGCTTCTTGTTCCCAGGCTAAGGTGGTTTCCCAAGCTCTTGGGTGCCAACTCTGAAGGAGCCATGGAGCTGGGTGCAGCGGTGGTCATTGCAGGGGGCAGCCAGGTGGTGCTGAGGGCACTGACCTTTCTCAAGGAGGGCAAGCCAATCGACTCACCCATAGGACCTTCAGAAGGAAGGTCCCAGCCCTCTGCCTTTGCCTGGGGAATTCGGGGCTCTGTGGCAGTCCTCCGCCCTGTCTAGGTGCCAGTCTCCCTATCTGTGCAGTGTCGGGGGCACACTTGATACCCTCCAAAGGCCCCTCAAAGCCACAGCCATCCTGGAGTTCTAGATGCTTCAGCTGACTTGAGTCTCTTTAATGCCAACCCCATGAAGGGGATAGAACAGGCCCTGAGAGAGGCTTGAATATCAATCAGAGGACTTGGGTGAGGGAATTAATGATAACAAGGACATCAAGAGGGCAGATGGGGGAGGTCTTTGCGAAGGAGGTGGCCTGGCAGCTGGCCTTGAACGTAGGATTCTGATGGTCTGAAAAGAGGACGTCCAGGCAGGGAAAACAGCATGAACAAAAGCATGAATGTAGTAATCATACACACTTTCCTTATCACCCAAAGGAGGGCAGCAGGGGTTTCTGACCCCTGGGGCTGGGGCTGTACCTACGTGCTGTGGCTGGGAATGAGGGTGATCCGTTTAGAATCCTGGCTAGTAAGCAAGGAGCCTGGCTCTGAGGGGAATAAGGAACCACAGCCGTTATTTGAGCAGGGGCATGAGAAGGCCCTGGGCCCAGCAACCCCCACCAGTGAGGCCGTGTGGGCGGTGCCAGGGTAGAAGGGGTTGTGCTGGGTTGTGACATGGGCCCCTGTCTATGACCCCACAGCAGAACCACATCATGGCGGAGCGCAGCGTGCTTCTGAAGAGCGTGCAGCACCCCTTCCTTGTGGGCCTACGCTACTCCTTCCAGACGCCCGAGAAGCTCTACTTTGTGCTCGACTATGTCAACGGGGGAGAGGTGGGTGGGCCCACAGGGAGCCTCCCCTGGGCTGGCTCTGACATGCCCATTGTGTATCAGGTTCTGGAATGATCTCACCTCATCCTTACAACAGACCCATTTTGTAGCTGAAGAAACCGAGGCTTGGGAGGTAACTCACTTGCTCAAGGCCACCCAGCCTGCTGTACCTAGCAGAGCCAGGATTTGAATGCAAGTCTGTCTGGCTCCCAGCCATGAGCATTTCTTGACTGCCCCACGCAAAGCTGCCTAGACACTCTTCAGGGCACCTGGGCAAAGTCAGTGTTAGTGGAACTCTGTGGTCAAGATTTCCAGTGTCCCCATTTTATACCACAGGCCACTGGGTGGGGGTGGTCCCTGTGGTAAATTGAGACCTGAGGTCACCTGGTCACCCAGAAGCACAGCTGGGATAAACTGGGCTCCATCCTGGACTTCACTCTGTCTCTCTGAGCAAGTGGCCCCAGATGTTGTCTGTGTGACCTCATGACTTTTGGCCTGATACCAAAGAGGAGAGTTTTTGCTTTGCATCCCTAAGTCCCCTGGTGCAGCTAAGGCCTTTCTAGGCCAGCAAAACAGACCAAAGCAATTGGCCCATGGACAGATATAGGCTGGGCTCAGTTTGACAGCTATAATAATCTTACTGCCCAGGTGGGAGGAAAAACACATCTTTGAATGACCCAGGTTCAAATGGCAGCTCTGTCAGTTATGAGCTACATGACCTTGGACAAGTCACCTGGCCCCTCCCACTTTCCTCTTTGGTGAAACTGGCATCATATTTGATACCTGGAAGGTAGTCATGAGGATTAAATGAGATAAGAGTTGTGAAGGGGTCTGGCTTGGAGCCTGGAACCCAGTACCTGTCAATCCATGTGAATTAGTCTCTCCTGCTGACCCTTTGGACACACACAACTACGGTATGGGGTGGGGGCCAGCATGCTCTTTTTCATATGAGTACATTGCAGCTCACAGAGGGGGTGACTTGGCCAGCTGCCCCCCACCCTGCACTCTAGGAGCTGGAGCCCCCCCACCTAGAGGACTTCTCATGCACCTCCTCCCCCTCCAGCTCTTCTTCCACCTGCAGCGGGAGCGCCGGTTCCTGGAGCCCCGGGCCCGGTTCTACGCCGCCGAGGTGGCCAGCGCCATTGGCTACCTGCACTCCCTCAACATCATTTACAGGTGAGGCCTGCCTGTGGCTCAGAGCCAGGCCTGGGCTGTCTGCTGCAAATGACAGGGGTTGTGTGGACCCCTAGGTCCCGATGAAACGCCAGTGAACTTGGTCCTCTGTCTGAGGAGGATGGTTCAGCAGTGGGAGTAGGGATCCTCCTTTCTAGAACAGGTGCCCATTCTCCTTGGTCTCCCCCTCTACATGTTTGAGAGCCTCCGTGAATAGTCCTCCCACCAGGACTCTAGAGTCCCAACTCTCCTCACTAAGTGGTTGAGACATTACAGTGCTCTTTCCTCTTGTTTTCTGTAGGGACCTGAAACCAGAGAACATTCTCTTGGACTGCCAGGTTGGTGTATGTGTGTGTGCATAGGTGCACATGTGTGCTATGTGCTTACAAGTGTGCATGCATGCATTGTACGTGCGTGCATATGGGTAGGGATGCATTCAAGTGTGTGTGCATGTGTATCCATGTGCGTGCATACGCATGTAAGTGCACATCGCATGTGCATGTGTGTGTATATGAGGTCTGTACGAGCAAGTGTGGAGCCAAGTGGAGGCTCTTGGATTTTGTAGTCTCTCCATGTCCTAGACTGGGTTCCCTGGAAACAGATGGAGTGTTGAATGCAGATGGTTACTGGGGAATGCTCTAAGAGATTTGGTTTTAAGGGGGTGAGGAGGCAAGATTGGATAGAGGTGGAAGCCCACCTGCATTGTGGTTGCAGATGAGGAGGCCTCAGGTGATATTACAGGGGTGGCAAGGGCCCCAGCTGGGACAACTCTTTGGAACTGTTCCAAATTAAGGCGAGGAGGCTGGGCTTTTGTGTCCCTGCATTGACCTGTCATTGGGTGTGGATTGCCCCTTGGGAGGGGCATAACTTTGAGAGAAGGCAGTGTCCCACCAGTCGGGGGGCGGGGGGAGGGGATGGGCATGACAGTCCCTAAAGATGGGATCTGAGCAGAGTCCCACGCTACCCACTGTCTCCACAACATCCACTAGCCACTCTCCTGCCCAGCTGCCCAGTTGCTTTCTGAGTCTCCAGCCCTCTGTCAGGGCAGCTGCCACCACCAGACCCCTCCAGCAAGGACATTCATGGGGCTGCCATTGTTGTAGAGCACGGCTGAGTCTGTGATAAATTGGGAGCAGACAGTGGAATGCTATCTCCCCACCTTGCCCCTTGTATTGCTCCTGGCATCCAGTGGAACATATAGCCAGTGCCAGAGGCATAAGTCTCCGTAGCTGCTGGCCTGGGGTATACTACCTGGGCTTTGGGGTTAGGCCTGACCATACCTTGAGCTTAGACCACTCTCCTGCCCCTGCCCCCCCTCCCCTGCAGGGACATGTGGTACTGACGGATTTTGGCCTCTGCAAGGAGGGTGTAGAGCCCGAGGAGACCACATCCACGTTCTGTGGCACCCCCGAGGTAAGCCAAACCTTGTAGGGGAGGTCAGAGGTCAAGTCATAAGTGGTTGAGCCTCAACTCCTGCTTAGAACCAACAGGTTACACTGGGCAGGGGCGGAAGAATGCTCACGCCTTTCACCCAAGCCCTTGCCCTGATCTGGCTGTGCACTCTGCCTTGGTTTCCTCATATGTGTAACGGCAGCACTAGCTCAGGGGGCTGCTGGGCCCCGGCCAGCAGGTGGTGAAGCTCTGTAGCAATGCAGACCTATAGAAATAGAAATAGCCATGCAAACCATATAGTCAATGTAAAGTTTTCCAGTAGCCACATTAAAAAAGTGAAAAGAAGGGCACCTGGGTGGCTCAGTCGGTTAAGTGTCCAACTCTTGATCGCGGCTCAGGTCATGATCTCACAGTTCATGGTATTGAGCTCTGCATCAGGCTCTGTGCTGACAGCATGGAGCCTACTTGGGATTCTCTCCCTCCCTCTCTCTTTGCCCCTTCCCCACTTGCGTGTGCTCTCACACCCTCTCTCTCTCTAAAAAAAAAATAAACATTTAAAAAAATAAAAGTAAAACGAAACAGGTGGAATGCATTTTAGTAGTACGTTTTCATTAAACCAATATATACAAAATATTGTCATTTTAACATACAATCAATATAAAATTGTTGAGATAATTTATTCCTTTTTTCTAACTAAGTCTTTGAAATCCAGAGCATATTTTACACTTTCAGTCCACCTCAGCTAAAATCAGCCTCATTTCAAGTGTTCGGGAGCCACATGTAATAAGTGGCTGCCGTATGGGACAGCACTGCCCCGCAGGGTGAGGGCCGTGTGGAGCAGGAGGGCTTGGCCTGACAGTTCAGATCAGGACTTGGGAGTGTAAAACACTGGTCTGTCTCCCTCTGCCAGCCACCAAGAACCTGGAGGGCTCAAATTTGTGGGTCTCAGCAGTAGCTCCTACATGTGTATCTGTCCTGCCAAGGCCTCCCTGTAGCCTTGGGGTTAAAATCTTTCCTTTGAACTCCCACCCTTGGACCTGGGATGCAAAGGACTTCCCAGTTGACAGATATCTGGGTGGGGGCTAGAAGGCAGAGGCCGCAGGGCAGAAGCTCCTCCTGATGGGACATGCGACAAGACTTCAGCGGCTCTATTGTTCTCCATATGCTTGAAAACCTGGATCTCAGATCTCAGCTGGGCTTCCTCCATTTAGTTTTGGGACAGCTGATGGACAGGTGACTACTCCGAGCAGGAGCCATTGTCTGTGTTTGTATATGGCAGGATGTCTTCTGGACAGAGCTGGTGTCCCAAAGCCTGACAGCCCAGCCATCCCTTCCTTGGACATTGTCAGCGGCGAGGAGCAGGGCATATGACACCCTGGCTTGTGCAGGAGACAAGTGGCCCCAACATGTCACCTCTTCCATAACTCAGCCCCTGCTGTGATGCCAGAAAGCATAGACAAGAGTAACGATAGTTGTGACCACTGTTTAAGGCCTACACATGTACCATATTCCACACAGATTAGCACATAACCTTAAAAGAGAGATCCTGGAACCCCATTTTATGGAGGAGGAAATCAAGGTTCTAGTAGGTTAAATGAGCCCTATATAGGGCTCAGGTCTGTGTAACTTCCTGCCCTTCCCAGACCCACACAGTCTCTCAAAATGGCTTTGTCTGTTGCTGTCCCTTTCCTCATGGCAGAGATGTCAGGCTAAGAGGTCGCCAAGCCCTTGGGTTTGGCAGAAAACACTGTCATGCCTCAGGTCCTCTTCTCATTGGAAGGCACAGCTCTGTGACATACATTCATCTGTCAATATGAACTCAAGTGTCACCTTTTCTTTCCCGATTCCTATCCATCTCTCTGTTACTACGGTTTCCAGTACAAGCACGTGCCGTGTTTACTAACACTTTACCATTAGTCTCCCCAATGCAGTGTGAGTACTCACAGGGCTTTCCTATTCCCAGGACACCGATTGGATGCTTTGTGCAAATTAGATAAAGGCACCCCCTTGGGCAGATTCACTAGAAAAAGTTACCCCATTAAATATTAATAAAGTTGCCAGATATAGCCCTATACTAGGGTTATGGCTTGGTGAGTTGATCACAGCCAGGCTTGCATCCCCCTGTCTCCTTTTGGCTAGTACTTTTGTATGGTGCACAACATATACAACTGTACAAGGCAGTCCTGCCTGATCTTCCCTATGTCCCCAGCATGTTGGCAAAGGGTCATACACAGAGTAAGCCTTTGACAAATGGATGTTGAATGAACATAGGCACACAGCCAGGTGAATATCACAGCAGGAGCAACCCTTGGTGATCTTTTCTTCCCAGTGCCTTGTTTACAAATGGGGAGACTGAGGGGCCCCTGAGTGGCTCAGGGGGTTAAGCATCCTACTTCAGCTCAGGTAGTGATCTCATGGCTCGTGAGTTCGAGGCCCACATCAGGCTCTGTGCTGACCGCTGAGAGCCTGGAGCCTGCTTTGGATTCTGTCTCCCCCTCTCTCTGCCCTTCCCCTGCTTGTGCTGCATTTCTCTCTCTCTCTCTCTCTCTCTCTCTCTCTCTCTCTCTCTCTCTCTCTCAAAAAGAAATAAACATATAAAAAATAAAATTTTTTTTTAAATAAAAATAAAACAAATGGGGAGACTGAGTCCGAGTGTCTTTAGATAACGTATGTTTCTTCCCAATAGTACTTGGCTCCAGAAGTGCTCCGTAAAGAGCCTTATGACCGGGCGGTGGACTGGTGGTGCTTGGGGGCCGTTCTCTATGAGATGCTGCAAGGCCTGGTGAGTAGGGTGTAAACATCTGCAAGGGACCTGTGGCTTGGTCCGTTGGGGGTGGATCTCTGCCTTGTGTGGCCATTCAGGCTCCTCAAGGAACCGAAAGAGCGCTCGCTCTCTACTCCAAGCTAAAAAAGATGATGTGAGGATTATGTATATTTTTCAGTAATGTTAGTTCAACGCTTTACAACACACACACTTTGGCACCTTGAAACAGCCTTTGGAGGCTGCCACAATAGGAAATGGAGCTGTTCTTATGTACAGAGAGGGAAACAGGCCCAGAAAGATCCCAAGGATGGTAGTTTGTGGAGCCAGCCCTGGGCCCCATCCTAAGCTGCCTGCTCAGTTGGAGGCTTGGGTAGACTCACCCCAGCGCAGGCATTGCTCGGGGCGGCTTTGTCAACAGAGCTCGGGGGATGTGAAAGAGCAGGCTCTGTGGAGTCTGGACAAAGAAGAGCCAGTGGAGGAGGTGGGGGTGGAGAGTACCAGGAAAGAGTGGGCTCTGGGCACATTTTGGGGCTGGCTCTTTTCCTGGCCATGTGGCTTGATCTCTCTGAGCCTTGTGTTCTCATCAACAAATTACTGCTTGCCTTCAGAGATGGCTGTGAGGGGTGGGCCGGAATGACAAGGGGGCAAGTGTTAACTTTGCAAAGTGCAGAGTTGGTGCACAAGCGGGGGTAAGAGAGGTGGGATGGGGCAGGCTCCCGGGAGGTCCCTTCTCAGCCTTCCCAGCAGCCAGAAGCCCAGAGGTCTCTGTCTCTCTCCGATCTGCCATGTGAGCCATTGCACAACACGCAGTCTGGCTAAATCTTTCCATTACCTGGCTTTGCCCCAACACTCCCTGAGACCTTCCCCCCGCTTTGGCGTGGATGAGCCTCCAGCTTCTCTCTCTCTCTCACCAGCCACCCTTCTACAGCCAAGACGTGTCCCAGATGTATGAGAATATTCTGTACCAGCCGCTACAGATCCCAGGGGGCCAGACGGTGGCCGCCTGCGACCTCCTGCAAGGCCTTCTCCACAAGGACCAGAGGCAGCGGCTGGGCTCCAAATCAGACTTTGTAGGTGAACTGCCAGTGGACCACTGGCCCCTGACAGGGCACTCAGCATCCTGCAGAAGCGGCTGAGAAGCACAGCGGTGTGCATCCAACTGCCCTCTAAAACCAGGCACTGCTAACTCCTTCCTCTGGAAATTCACAGCTGCTGCTGCTTAATTACTTCCTTTAGTTTGGTTCTTTTATTCAGCCAATGTTTACTGAGCACCTACTATGCACCAGACATCAAGCTAGGTGCTAGGGATTCAATGGGCTGGGTCCTTGGCTTTATTAAGTTGGGGTGGGGAGGGGGCAGACAACAAACATCATGGTGTATAATTATTGTGGAGTGTGACAAGTACCAGGAAGTAAATGAAGCAAGATAGACGATAATGAGAGGGAGTAAATTCACACTGGCATGGTGAGGGAGGTCCACTCTGAGGAGGTTAACAATTAAGTTGAGACTTGAAGGATGAGAGGAACCACTCATGCAGAGAGCTGAGAGGAGGCATCCCAGACACAGGGCACAGCATGTGCAAAGGTCCTGTGGCAGAAACAAGAAGCATAGTACACTTTAGGGGATTTTGAATGGGGATGTGGTAAGACCCAATTTCAGTTTTAAGAAATTCCTCTGGCTTCTGTGCAGAGAGAGGACTGGACTTGTTTTGTGCCAGTGCCATGCTGGGCACTCAGGATATAGAGATGAATAGTTTGTCCATTCCTGCAATGAGTTCATGATTTTTTTTTCATTAAAGTAGCACTTAAAAAATAATCTTACATTCTCCAGTCAACCAAAGACCGTTTGAATTTATAAGAGGAAGACCACAGTGCATTTCTCCCTGGAAGTTTGCTTTCTCTTTCTGGCAGAGTGGTTGCGATGCACAGACTATGAGACAGACTGCCTGGGTTCAGATCCCTCCTCCACCTTACTAGTCCTTACTGGTTGTAGAGCCTTGGGCAAACTTCTCTTTTTAAGCCTCAGTTTCCCCACTGGCAATAATGGCAACTAGCTCATACCTTCTACAAAGATCACGTGAATTAATATATACAAAGCACTTAGGCCAGTGCCTGGCACATAGTAAGTGCTTTTTAAGCATTTGTACCCCACATGCCAGATGCTGTGAAGCGTAACAATCTTTAGGGCATTTGTCTACCCATCCCTGGCCAGCCATCCTTAAAGCCAGGGAGACTTTGATGAACACTGTTCCCCTTCTTCCAGGTGGAAATTTGCATCTTAAAAAATATGTATGATTTTTCAAATAAGGGGTATATTCACATAGATCATAATTCAAAGGATATTCAGAAAAAGTTCCTCTAGTGACTCAGTTCCTTAGTTTAAAGGCAACCAGTGTTATCTGTTTCTCGGGTACTCAGTATATCATGGATCTGGCTTTTTAACAAGTCCACAGGGTGGGGAGGGTGTGATGTAGGGAGCTGGAGAATCATTCCTTGCAAAACACAGATCGAGAGAGGGTCCTGCTGGGATAGGAGGCACTTGATGCTGACATTGGCTTAGACTAGGAAAGAAATAGTGATTCATGCCCAAGGCTGAGTCTTAAATTCTGGGTCTCCGGGAAACTGTAGCTTTTCTTGGGGCTTTACTTCCTTTACCTTCCTTACTGACTTGACGTAATCTTTTCCTTTGGTTTGTATTCTAGAAGAATCAAGATGTACTGAGGCAGGTGGGTGGGGTTGCAAGAGCCCCTGGGAACCCCAAGGGCAGGTCCTGCTATCTTACTCATGGACATACCTCCAAAGCATACCATGGTGCTGGCACAGAGTAGGTGCTCAGTAAATGCAAATAAACAAATGCTCTGGGGGAGAAGGGTTTGGGTTCTAGATGAGAGAAGAGGCCTGGCTACAAAACACCCCTTTGTCCCAGGAAACCAGCCGGAAGTGCAGGTTACTTTCCCAATAAAGGTTTTATGGCTTGACAGCCAGCTGCCAGTAGAGTTGGAGATCTGGGACATGGGGGTGGGTGGTGGAGAGGGGTGCTATGGGCAACACTGATCAGCACCTTCTTCCTGCAGCTTGAGATAAAGAACCATGTATTCTTCAGCCCCATAAACTGGGATGACCTGTACCACAAGAGGCTGACTCCACCCTTCAACCCAAATGTGGTAAGAGGTCACCCTGTTCCAGATTCTGGATTCCCAGGGCTAATGGGAGCTTGGAGCGTATCTGGACCAACCCTCTTTCTACAGGTGGTAAAACCAAGGGCCCGAGAGGCTCAATGATATGTCTGAGACCACATGGTGAATTAGAGGCAGAACTGGTTCCAAAACTCAGAAGTCCCGACTTCCAGCCCAGCTCTGTGCGATGAGCCACGCAGCCCTTCCTTCATTTTCAACACCAATAACCCTCATTGCTGTTTAAAGCACTCTCTGGGGGCACCTGACTGGCTCAGTAGAAGAGAGTGTGACTCTTGATCTCAGGGTTGTAGGTTCAAGCCCCATGCTGGGTGTAGAGATTACTTAAAAATAAAATCTCAGGGCGCCTGGGTGGCTCAGTCCATTAAGCATCTGACTCTTGATAGCTCAGGTCATGATCTCACCGTCGTGAGATTGAGCCCTGTGTTGGGCTCCGCGCTGACAGCGTGGAGCCTGCTTGGATTTCTCCCTCTCCCCCGCCCCTCCCCCACTCTCAAAATAAATAAATAAAACATTTTTTAAACCTCAAAAAGAAAGAAAGAAAGAAAGTGGTCTGTCACACCCAGACAGAACCAAGCCCTATAAAAATGTCTTTTTCTGTCTTTAACCTTTTTTCTCCTGATAATAAAAACGACATGTATTTATTGTAGCAAATATATAAAACAGAGTTTAAGGCAACAGGGAGGAAAAGCTTATTATCTCACTGCCCGAGAGAAACTACTGTTGACGTGTTCCCTACGATCTTTTTCTGTGTTTCTTACACAGGTCATACTTTATACATAGAGGTATCTTCTCCCCTTACTTTTTCTTTTCTGCTAAAAACTATGTCATTATTTCCCCAAATCATGTAAAACTTTTGTAAGTATCATTTTAAATGGCTACATAATATTTAAACCCTATGTTGGTAAGTAACATAATCTATTCAACCATGCTCCTAATGGTGAGCTTTATGTTACTACCATTCTTTCTTTATCATAATGTACTGATGAACACCTTTAAGTGTGTGTCTTTAAAAAATTTTTTTTAATATTTATTTTTGAGAGAGAGAGAGAGAGACAGAGCACGAGTGGGGGAGGGGCAGAGAGAGAGAGGGAGAATCCAAAACATTGCATTGGGGCAGGATCCAAAACAGGCTCCAGGCTCTGAGCTGTCAGCACAGAGCCCGATGCAGGGCTCGAACCCATGAACCATGAGATCATGACCTGAGCCGAAGTCAGATGCTTAACTCACTGAGCCATGCAGGTGCCTCTTTGAGCATGTGTCTTTGCTCAGAGTTCTGATTATTCCCTTAAGATGGATTCCAGATGGGGAATTGCCAGGTCAAAGTATGTGAACACTTTTAGGCTCCTTTTTTTTTTTTTTTTTTTAAAGTAATCTCTACATCCAACATGGGGCTTGAACTTACAACCCCAAGATCAAGAGTCAACACTCCACAGACTGAGCCAGCCAGGAGCCCTTTGGTTCTTGATTCATAACTGTTTAGGCTCTTGATTCCTACTGCTTTAACTGTGTGGTGGGGAGGAGAATCAGCTTCCTGCCAGCAGCGTCTGCTGGAGAATTCTTGTCTGTCTCTGCAACATGTGCAGTTCATTGTTTTTAACTTCGCAAATTTGTTAAGTAAAAAATGGTATCTCATATTGTTTTAACTTATATTTCTTTGATTTATAGTGAATGCAGTTAGTGTTTGAATGTTAATTAGCAGTGGTAGTATGCATGAAAGCAGCCTCATTCGAAGTGGACATTGGAGGGTCTCTCGGCCACCTGCGGTGTCCAATAGGGTCAAGCCCTTTCCATCCATGTAGTTTGCATGTCAACACTGCAGTGTGAACTCGCTATTTACACCTGGCCTTTTGTCAATTACCCACTCACGAACGTATCTTTGAGCTCCAGATTCTTGACAGTGGTTGTCAGATAGGTTACGCTCAGTCCAGGTACCTGAAAAATTTCTTTATCTGGGAATGTAAAAAAGACCCAGAGGATAATATTGAAAATACACCCTGGAGAGAGACCAGTATAAAAAATACTAGATAGGGAGGTAACAGAATGCAGTGAATAGACTTTAAAGTAAGACACGCTGGGTGTGGATTCCTGGTTCTGCCACCTTCCCACCTCTGTGAGGACTTGGATAAGTATCTTTAGCATCGATATCATTTGTAGAAACCAGATAATGTCTGTCTTGTCTAGGACCACACAGCTAACAAGAGCCAGGGCCAGGATCTACACTCTGGTCTTGGAACTCTCAGCCCTGAACTGAGACCGCTGTGCCTGGTCGCCTTTTAAAGAAGCTGGAAATCATGGTCTATTTGGTTCTGCAACCTAAGGCTTGCACACTCAAGCACATACGTACACCCTTCCACCTGTTCACCTGCTTACTTCGGAAAACCCAGGTGGCCTAGCATTCTCCACAGACTGTGCCTTCTTCACAAAGAGACTAATTTGGTTAGCTCATGCTGCATAACAAGTCACCCCCAAACTACGTGACTTAAAACAACAATTTTGTATTTTGCCCCAATTCTCTGGGTTGGTTGGGTGAGTTTTTTTGGCCTGGGCCAGGCCAGCTAGTCTCTGCTGCGCTCTCTCATGTCAGTGGTTTAGAGGTGCCTCACTCAAATGCCTGGGAGTTGGCCAGCAGCTGGGGAGACTGGGTTCTCCTTCTAAGGCCTCTCGTAGTCCAGCAGCCTGGTCTGGGCTTGTTCAGGAGGTGGCCCGGGGTTCCAAGTGCTGCAAGAGAGAACAACTCCCAATGTGCATCTTTCAAACCATTGCTTGAACCACATCTGATAACAGATTGCCCCAAACAAGTCACATGGCTAACCCATATTATAAGTATGGAGAGATGGACTCTACCTCTGGATGGCAAATGCAGGATTTGTGACCATTTCTACAATCTCATACACAGGTCTTCCCCCAAAACGGTGAAAGCAGCCAGTCACTCTCTACCATATTACCCTATTCTATCTTCTTCATAAGGCCTGTCAACAACCCAGGTTGTCTATTTGTCTATTTGTGTACATGCTTATTATCAATCCTCCTACCCTCTGCATCATATAGGCTCCATGAGAGCTGGGGCCCACTCTATTTTGTTCCTCTGTGTCCCCAGTGCCATGAATAGTGGCTGATAGACAGTCAGTAAGTGTATGTTGACTAGACTTGTCTGAGGGTTGATGTGAAGCAGGCAGGGTGCCAGGAGGTTAGAGGAATTGATATGTGGTTAGTGGACCATGTGGAATAAAATAATTAATGTAAACACATGGGTAAGTGATAGCTAAAGATAGGTGTCCGCAAGGCATTCAGAGGGGAGGCCTAACATCGCTCTCAGGGCTCGTGGGTTCCTTTGGCGGCTCTGACCCTAGTGTTCCCATCTCACCATTGGTTTATATTCACAGGCAGGACCTGCTGACTTGAAACACTTTGACCCAGAGTTCACCCAGGAAGTTGTGTCAAAGTCCATTGGCTGCACTCCCGACACTGTGGCCAGCAGCTCTGGGGCCTCAAGTGCATTCCTGGGATTTTCCTATGCACCAGAGGATGATGCCATCTTGGACTACTAGAAGAGAAGCACTCGTGTAACCACTGAAGACAGCTGGTATCCCTAAGGACTTGCCTTCCTTACCTTCAGCTGCTAGTAACAGAGACTCAAAGTAACAATGGCTTAAATAAGGTTACATATATGTTTCCAGCATATGAATGAGGAATGTTGTTAGGTAGTCCAAGGCTGCTGGTTCCACAGGTCATCAGATACTAAGAAGCTTTCTGTATCTCTTCTCTGCCATCCTTGGCAATTGGCTTCCAGTATCAGGATTGCTGCATTGATACAAAGTGGTTACTGGAGCTCTAGCCACTGCTTCTGTGTCCTGGGCAGGGAAAAAGGAGGCAAGGAGTGAAGAGCAAAACAGCACCTTTAGGGAGCTTCCCCAGAAGCCCCAACCAATGGCTTCGGCTCATTAGTCACCCACTCCTACTTGTAATGGAGGCTGGGATATGTGGTTTATTAGCTGGGTACATTACTACCCCTAAGAACATAGGGCTCTGATACTACAGGAGAAGGGAGAAATGTTCAGTAGGCAACCAGGATCTCTCTACCAAAGGACCTCTTGGTGTTTGGATCTTTAACTCAATGTGCAAAATGACAGAAATGTAGTAAGCCTATAGGCGATCACCCAACATGCTCTTATTTTTCTCTTTTGATGGTATCTTTCTTTGTTGTGGATGGTATTGGATATTTATTATTAGGTTTGTCTGCCTGGCATCTGAACCCTTTCCTATATTCAGGGAATGTCCTAGCTAATAAGCCTTTATGGGGGGGGGGGCAATAATTACCTCTACTTACAGTAGCTGAAAATGCTAGATACTGACTGTCCCAGCCTCCTCTGCTGCTGGGGCCAGGCATGTGGCCCAAGGATGCACCTGTGCCGGAGTTTGACTCAAGGGAGGGACTAGAAGCTTTTATGTGGTAGCTACGGCAACAGTACTCACAAAAGTGAGTAGGATGGATCATGCTGCCTTACTTCAGTGGCAAAGTAGTCTTCCCTGCCCCCGCTCCCAAACCCGTGTTTCATCGGCTGTTTCAGGGTAGGCTTACTAGGTTTTTGGCTTGTGGACAAGGAGACAACTTTGACATCAGTGTGTGCTGGCAGTTTTATTGTCTTTTCCTGTTAATCTCACTCTTGCTCTTCCATTTGTGTTTGCCCAGCTCCCTGCCCCAGGAATAATGGGGGATGAAGCTGGAAGATCATGGAAAACACACCTACGACACTAACACAGACCTACTGGAGATCTAAGCTGGGTCAGGAAGAGTTACCATTACCCTTTGGCATGTGCTGAGAACTTTGAAACACTCTGATTTGATTTCCATCATAGCAGTGTCTGTTGTTTGACAAGTGTATGGAACAAGATGTGGTGGGAGTGGCCAAAATTTCCCCAACTTCCCAAAGCAAAAAGCAACAGAGTGTAATTGTTGGAAACATGATAGTACTGTCACAAGTATACAACCCACTATGGGTTGTGAAACACATAATGGTTCCATGTGTTCTAAGACTGTAAAATCACAAAATTTTCACCAAGACAGAAAATAAAAATGTAGAAAAACTATGATATTGATCATGCTTTTCCTATGTTTTTTGAGCACATTCTGATCTTTACATGCATTATCTACAATCCTCACAAGAAACCAGCATTTAGAAATTATTAACCTCACTTTTCAGATAAATATTCACTCTGAGAGATTAAGCAACTTGCCCAAGGTCACCCAGCTGGTACAAGGCACAGCCAGGAACTGAACTTGGTGGCTGCTGCTTTTAAAACCCATGCTCTTCTACAGCCTCCATCAGTGGGAGAAATGCTCTGAGCAGGTACTCCTTTGGTTTTATAGGAAACACTGACTGCACATCAGGCAGAAGAACTCCAGACCTGTCCAAACTGTCGAGTGGCACGCCCCATGTACCCTTTCTAGTAGAATATATCACTTCTTTTTTTTAATGTGTACTTTTTTGAGAGAGAGCATGCACGCACAAGTAGGGGAGGGGCAGAGAGATAGGGTGAGAGAGAATCCCAAGCAGGCTACAGGCTGCCAGCACAGAGCTCCACGTGGGGCTTGAACTTAGGAACCATGCATGAGATAATGATCTGAGCCAAAATCAAGAGTCAGATGCTTAACCAACTGAGCCACCCAGGCTCCCCTCACTTCCATTTGTATTAATTTCACACCAAAATACAGCATCTCCACGAAGAGAATTCTCAACCATCCTCTTCACTTTTTAACTTTGCAGTGGCAGTAGTTGTGTAAAGGCAACAAGAGTTGTGTGTTTCAAGCTCCTAAGACTCCTACTGCTCTGTACTTAACTGAAGATTGTAACAAACGTAAATGTGAACCAAAACCGTGGTGTGTCTCTGCTCGTTTGCGCCGGTGAGGCGGCGGCACTGCACACAGTCCACACACTCTCAGGGCAGGCAAGGGCTCCCCTGGAACAAATTGTGGCCTGTTGGTGGTTACTAGTGCCTGGTTTTTCATTTTGATGGCGATGGCTCTTTGGTGTAGCAGTTCCTTCTCCAGCCCATGCCTTATCAATATTACTCCGCTCATCCGGAGCGCCTTTCAGATCAGCTCTGGTCCCTCACAGCTCCCTTAGTGCAGTTTATATTTTCACTGTTTGGTCGGATCTGGCCAAGGTCCAACTCCCCGTCTGGGAAGGCCTAGAGGGCGAGTTCACCGTCATATCCTGGGCCTAGCACTTTGGCGCTCAGAGATGCGGGGCTAACTAAAGAGGAAGAACTATCTCGAGTGACCATTCGCACCACTAAACTTGTCCATCTCTCGCGGGGAAGGCTTCCCGAGGTGCCAAGTCGCCGAAACCCTTCCACAGCACGCATAAGAACCTCTCATCTGGCGTTTCCGACAGCTAGACTTCGTCCTCCACTCTCCGCCCGGATTCGCCCCGGAGCTGTGCGCCTGCGCTCTTGGGAGTTGAGGATGGGGCATTTCCCACCCGCCACCGCCGGAAGCCTTCACTTTCCTCCCTCAGGGTGGAGCGAAGTTTGGGCCCCAGGGTCCTACTACTTATATCAGTCTCCAATGATACTTGATATTAAAGTACGAAACGAGATGGGTTTATTTTTGGCCTAAAGTTAATTCACGTTCTGTTTGGGTTTACCCCTCAACCAATGTAATGGTACAGTCCCATATTAGCTCCGCCCCCTGACCTCCAGCCCCGTGACGCTCAAGGCGAAATGGCGTCTTCCGTTCTGTCGTCATCACGTTGCTGCGGAGGTAGGTCCACGCCGCAGTGCACGCCTCCCCAGCGCGCTGCCTCGCCTACGCCGTTGCTAAGCGGCCTTGGATACCTGGCTGCAGGATGCTGGGCGGTATCAGGTGAAGATGGTGGTCACTGGGCCTCAGGTAAGAAGGGCTCCGACTGTGATGGGCCGGCATGGCCGTTGTAGCGTCCTGGGAGCTGACGGGGGCCTCGCCGGCCTGTTCCTGGGGCCTCTGGACCAGTCTTGTGGAAAATCGAGGTCTTATGAGATAAAAGTAAACTGAGGCCGCAGATACAGGCCCGGATTCCGAACTTCGGACTGCATTCGAATCTCCGTTGCCTGTGGCTGGGCTGTTTAGTTCTCTTGCTGAGTATCAGCATTGTCTCACCCCGTTTTCCTAGGAATCCTAGGAAATTGTTGGGAATTTGTCCTACAGCAAAAATAACGGCAAAGACAGACGTGTATAAATTCCAATAGGGTTTGTGAAGGCGAAATAATTGAAAAGATGTTCATGAAAGCAGTAGTGGAGTTCATTAGGGCATAATCATGCACTAGATCATGCAGCCACTATCCTAACCATGGAGACTTTTAGTTAACTGAGAAAGGCTGGATAGGGTATTGTATGTACACATTGGGAAAACAATAGTGTACAAGGATGGTTGGAACATGGAAAGATAGTGGTGCTGTAATCATGAGGTTTGTTTTTGTTGAGCTTACAAAATGATTTTAAAGTTCAATTGGAAGAAAAAATATGAGACTAGCCAGGAAAATTCTAAAAAGTTAGTGAGGATTAGTTCTCCAGCACCACCAGATATTATAACATATTATAAAGTTATAATAATTAAAATAGTATAGAAATGAGCAGGAACTTACATGCAGATAGAAAATAATGGAATTCAGAATAGATCCAAATACAAATACTTCTAGAGATTTATTATGTAGTCAAGGGGTATTTCAAATCAGCATTAAGAAGATGGTTTGATGTCAGGCAGCTTTATTGTAATTAAAAAAAAAACAGTAATGAAGCTTATTTTGATCACCCAAATAAATTCCAAACAGACCAAATTTAACTTAACCACATAACAAAGTACTGGAAGAAATCATTGTATTTGTAAACTTAGCACAGCAAAAAAATTTTTTTTCTAAATATGTCATGTAATCCAAAAGCTAGAAAGGAAAAGATAAATACTATTGACTCCAAAAAATTTAAAACCTCTGTTTGGCTTCCAAAATTCCGCCAAGCCAAACCAAAAAAGCTACTAGAAGCTAAGTCTAAAGACAGGTAAATCTATGAAAGTAATTAAGTCAGTTAGAAAAATATTAAACCAGGGGCGCATGGGTGGCTCAGTCAGTTAAGCGTCCAGCTCTTGATTTCAGCACAGATCATGATCTCATGGTTAGTGAATTCAAGCCCCACATGGGGCCCTGCAGTTTGGAGCCTGTTTGGGATTCTCTCTCCCTTTCTCTCTGCCCCTCCCTCCCTCATGCTCTCTTTTTCTCTCAAAATAAATAAATAAACATTAAAAAAATAAAGAATCTGAAGGGGTATACCCCACACTTAACAGGAGTTAGCAGTCAGAAATCAGGTGGGCATCATGGTCTCAGGGCATAAAGGTAGGGTGATGGCAGGGCAGGGTCCTGAGAATAGGCTGGTGGGAAGGCCAGGGCCAGAGACAGGAAGCAAAAGCCAGAGATAGCCTCAGATTTCTGCGGCTGTGAGTATGCATTTCACTCTCAATCTTTGAGAATTGTAGGGATTTGATAACTAGGTTGCAGCTGTATTTCCTCTCTTGATAAATTAGAAGAAGACTATTTTTTCCATTTATGGTCTTTTGGAATATTGTTTATTGTTTCATTTTTTCTGATCTCTTCTTTTTTCCATAAGGTAACCATGGAGAAAGAGCTTCGGAGCACCATTCTTTTCAATGCGTACAAAAAAGAAGTATTTACCACCAACAATGGCTATAAATCCATGCAGAAAAGACTTCGGAGTAATTGGAAGATTCAGAGGTGACCATATATATTGTTTTCCTTTCTAAGTGATGACAATAGCCTGCTGGTAATATTGGAAAGTCTTTACTTTCTTATGTAAGAGGTTGTTTAGGCAGGAGAAATTCAATATGAAGAACATTCAGAAGTAAATAAATTGATTATAGAGGCGCCTGGGTGGCTCAGTTGGTTGAGCGTCCAACTCCTGATTTCGACTGCAGTCATGACCCCAGGGTCATGGGATTGAGCCCTACGTTGGGCCCCTCACTGAGCGTGGAATCTACTTGAGATTCTCTCTCTCCCTCTGCCCCTCTCCTCTGCTTGCTCGCTGCCTCTCAAAAAAAAAAAGTAAATAAATTATTATAAAAACATATTTTTTTAAAGTTGGCAATTAGTATATTAAGTTGTCCCCCAAATCACAAATCAAATAATTATTCTAATTATACATACACAACTTTTTAAGAGGTTAGAGGCTTTCTCCATATTTTAACTTCGGGCAATACTTCAGTGTAGGGAAAGGAAAGATGAGAATTCCTCTCTGCCTTTGTTGTGTGTGTAAATGGTTTTTCTTAATGGGTAAGGCTATGTAATTCTACAAACTAATGTAGAGTTGATTGAATTAGTAGTTGGAGGACTCTTTATACTCTTGTATGTTTAATTTGGGCATCTTGGCCTAGGGGAAGTATTTGAGCAGAGGCTGATCTCAGACAAGCCTGTAGAGGGGATTCTCACTTTGGGAGAGAGGCTGTACCTGATACCTCTAAATCCCTTCATCTCTGGGCCTCTGTGGCCTCTGGTTCCATACATTCTAGAGGCTAGAGTAATTCATAAATTGCTTTAAATTATGGATCTAATACTTTAAAAATCCTATTTCTAGTTTAAAAGATGAAATCACATCTGAGAAGCTAATTGGGGTGAAACTGTGGATTACAGCTGGGCCAAGGGAAAAATTTACTGCAGCTGAGGTAAGTAATATCCAAAAAGAAGAAATACAATGAGATGGTTGGCACATGAGCTCTGAAATTCCGGATATGAATCCCACTTCACCATACACTGTATCACCTTAAGGTAATCACTTTCATCTCTTTTTTCATCGTGGAGTTGTTGTGATCATTAACTGAGATAATGCATATAAAGTGCCAGACACATAGTTGAGGCTAATTAAATACTAGCCATACTTGTTTGCCACATTTGAAAATAGGAAAATTCCTTTTAAATTTAAGCTGTTTTTAATTCTATTTCATAGAGTAGACAAACGTAAAACCCAGGACACAAGTATTGGTAAAAATGTAGAGAAATTGGAACCCATGTGCACTGTTGATGAAAAGGTAAAATGGCACAGCCATTATGGA